CTAAATTTCTTGATCCATTTTGTATTAATGTTAACCCAATATTCTAACAGTAGTGATTAATGCTCACATGTATTATCGTAATGTTATATTGGTTAGTTCTCATGACATACTAGCTCAATCGATAATAAAAGTTGATCATCTATATCAACTAATTAGCTTTGATGGTTCGTTAACAAGCTTTAATAGCATTTACATGCTTCAGCGACATAGACTTGTTGAAGCATCAAGCTCTAGCAAATATGACCCGTAAATAACGCAAATATACATTGACTAACAATGCAGCAAGGACTAAATAGTTACATGGATTTAATATTCAGTGTTCCTTATCTCATCACCTCATCCTGTTTAAAACTATGCACTATCCTGTAATATCTTTTCTTCCGACCACTGCCTGCCTAATTTCATATTCTCGAGTTCCATTGCCAAACAACAAGGATGGCACTTCTCTAAAAACATACGGTGAGTTTCAGCCATAAGTTTTCTGCAATCATAAGGTCATTTTAGATGGCTCGTTCAATGGTGACCGCACAATTATCTGAATTCATTCGGTTGTTCTAATCCGAGCGAGTGGCAAAAGCCTCAACAGCATCAAGCACCCTGGGATTAATTGCCATACTGCATGTTTTATTCTGGATACTTTTGGATCATTACTACTCCTCACGAATGGCGTTATGTATGTCGTCCACTGAATAATCTAATTTTCAAAAATAATCAAGGCGAGTTCAACTATTTTACTGGATGATTTTTTTGTACTTAACATGCATATGTTTTTTCAGTTGCTTTTGCCATATATTTGTAAGTGTCACTAAGCTAAATGCAGTAACTTCTTATGGAATGTTTATAACGCATCATATTCCTGCCTGAAGTTTCACAAGCAGTCTAAACTTTAAAATTATTTTCTGGTCATGTTCATTATTTTTAAATCGTCATATACGTCAACAACCTGCATGTTAACCTGGCCCACACATACGTCACACTATATCTCCATGTCTTCTAAATTTAGAAATCATCTGGATCGCCTTTAACATTTATCAATAAACCCATCATAGTCGTTGTTGCTGATCGTATTTGGGTTTATGAATTGGTTTATCATATTACCAGCCTAAAATGCGAACATAGTTTAGATAATAAGATTAAAAATTTAGGTACTATCAACTGCACTAGTAAAATAACTAAATCCCTAGGTAGCTGTTAGCTAAACAAACGTTTAAAATCAAAACTCCTTAGCCTACTAGAATTAACACTAAACTAATCTTTCTGATATGAAATTTATAATTAAATTAGGCGTCTCGGATTCTTTAACGTTACAAATTTCTGATAATTTTGAATCACCTAAAGCAAAAATACCTATTTTTTCCACTGACTAATCCTCATTCAACACTATAACTAGTTAGACATAATAGTTTCAGGATATCGTCATAAAGCATTGTCATAACTTGACAATCACGTAATATGACTGATAAAATTAATGAAACTGTTAACAAAATCGGTCAGTAAATTGACTTATAATTATCACTAGTGTTGTTTTTCTTTTATCTTTATTCACTGCAGATGATTACAGTAGGTTTCTCTATCAGTTGCTTATTCAGTAAATATCTCAAAACCTTGTCAGTCCAATTGATGGTTTAGCGACACAATCATGCATGCAAATAATCAGTATAAGCAGTCGAGCAAATCTCCTGCAAACTGAAAACATTAATGTCGAATTTACCCCAACACTGACTAAGGTTCAAGCCATTATCATAGACATGAGTTGGGAGTGTACTCCTCTTGGTTACAACTTATGTTCTCCCTGATAATCACATGAGCATCACTAACTATTAATCATCTTGTAAAAACTTATTTAGCTAAATACATCTTGCAGCACCACATCACTTCGTAATATGACACATAGGCTTAACTGATTTTAATAACTTATAACCACTATATCTCAATTAAATCGTATTTCGCCTTATGATAAACTGCAACTAACTTGTATGCTTAATCAGCCGTCAGATATAAATATGTATAAATAGTCTATGGCAACGCAGAACATTGAGTCTAGAACATGTCTCTAACGAATACACTCGCTATCTGTCCCAAATTCATATAATCATCACTCACATATTCAAATTTTGTTTTGATAACCATTCATGTGTATTAGTAGTATTACTAAATTCTATCACGGTCAAGTAAAAATGAGGTTGAGAAAATCTCCCCGTAACTAAATAAACCGTATCAAACTAACTGGAACACTAGTTGGAATTCTCCACGGTAATATTTTTGTTCCTTCAGTTAGCCTACTAATACAGATGCAATTGGAAATCAATTCATATGGACAACTTACCGGCATAATCGTTATTTGATTTCATAATTTAAACCAAAACTAATACCAATATTAACATTTCTACAATATTCATTACTTTAATATTTCTAAACACAAAATACTTACTACCTATACGTTAAGTTATTAACCAACGGCTATTAACACGCATTGTTTTATTATTATTACTGTAATCTCATTTTTTATAGCTCTAATAATCTTCACCCAAATTGTCATTTCAAGCATGAAGGCAAATTTTTTTTAAAAATTATTACATGTATTTCACGACCAGATGCTGCCGCCTTCTTTTTGATTTATCTTTCAGCTTATCGTTACCTGGGGGATTCTTCCTAGTCTTGGTAACCTTCGGCGCACGACGATCCCATCCAATTCGGTATCCAACCAACATCGCGTTGATTCTGGTGGGAGAGTAGTGTAGTGGCATTGAACAATAACCGCACAATCCACAAAGCTGAACACGAGACTACCCAGAAAATAGATATTCAATATTTAACGCGGAAAAATACCTAACGATGGAGAAGGCGCGAAGAATGAATTGAATTGACTGGAGTTGATCGAGTGGCATGGCTCGACCATGCAGACGTGGTCCATCTCAATGTTACTTTATATCTTCTATTCATATTAAATATATTGTTCTTTCTCTAGCCTAACCTTGTTCTACATCATGTATTGGTAATTGATACGATACAGTGAGTTGGTGTAGTCGATGGTGTGACTTCCACGTAAGATCTTATAGATTAGGCAGTTCTATCATGACAAATCTACAAATTTAGGATTAGGTCTATTATTAAAGCAGTACTAATATCATAGTAGACCATAATTCTACAAGCTAACAGCAGCCTACGGTTATCAAGAATCTCACTCTTCGTTTGCTAAGCCACAAAAGGCACTACTGGGCGGAATATAAACGAACTGTTAACAACATCACATACATGTAATGCAAACAAACAAGAAACTAATGCACAAAGGCAATAAGAGAAGACAGGCCTCAGTATCGGAAAAAGTTTATCGATAAATTTGTCTCCAGTGAGAAAAACTTATTCCGTCGTACAGCATTTCTTCGACAAGCGAAAATAGGAATTTCTCAGGAGTGGACCTGAGAGCTCGCTTGGTGCAACAGAAACTTCAGCATTTAAACAAGGACACTCCTCTCGATCCGTATATGGTCCATTGTGCTACACTGAGGGAAACAGCTTTAATCTTGGAAACACCGCTCCCACACTCGCCAAGCCAAAGAACGTTACCAAAACATTGGAGATTAGCTCAAATCATACCAATTTTCAAAGGAGGTCGACACAGAGAACTTCAAGTTACCAGCCGGCAATGCTTCTCTCAATACCCTGAAAAAATGTAGTCCCTGATACGCGGCGGTTCGCGTGACTATTTACTATCCATAAACTTCTTACATACTAACAGCACAGTTGCAGAGAGGGTTACTCATCTATAGCCAACTTGCTGACTGTAGCGGTAAATAAGTCCCCAAAATAAATAGCCCTGTAAGTTTTCGACATTGGATGCTGACCATATGTTTTAGTGGACTCATCTAGCTGAAGGCGCTCGGTCATACATCCGCACCAGATCACGTGTGGTAACGCTGTGCTCAACATCTACCGCAATCGCTGGTCAGATTAGATCAGAGAATTCTGATATATTGGTTATCGCCAAATACACTCTTCCGATCTCCTCGACTCTGTCTTTTGATTTCTCTCGGTGGGTACAAATTATATTAGAAGGTGTTGCTGGTAAAAGCGTTGTCAAACACTGAATACCTGTGTCATCTTCATGACCAACCCTGATCTCAAGGGAAAGGTTGATGTCCTATATCTTGACCTCTTAAAGGCTTTAAATAAGGTCATCTATATATGTCATATCAATAAACTCGAACGAATGGGAATCAAATTACCATTAGTCGATTGACATACTTCATATTCAAGTAATCAGCTTTTTAATGTCAGGGTTAACTTCATTTTCTCGCCGTGGAATGTCCTAGTTGGGTCTCCCATGTTTCAGCACTTGGACCTCTTTTATTCTTAACTTGTATAAACAACCTCTCAGAGCAAGTATAGTCAGTTATTGCTTTTCGCTGATTATGTAAAACTCTGGAGAGAAGTTTCCAACCACGAGGATAAACTGGCACTTCCACAGGATCTGACTCAACTTAAAAGCTGTGCAGACGACAACGGACTTACCTTTATCGCTTCAAAGTGTAAGGTAGCCCATCTGAGTCATGTCGCGGAATGCGAATACAATTCAGGTAACTCCACTGTAGAGGTATCTCAAGTTGAAAAAGATTTAGAAGTGTTGATCTGATGTGATGATCTGATGTGTTACTCCAAATGTGACAAAGATGAGTTTCAAGGAAACTTTAGTAGTATCCGGAAATTAGAGACACAACATAGCAGAATCAACTGTAGGTAAGTCTTTTACTATTCACGAGCAGTCAAATTATGGAACACTCTCCCGACTAAGGTAGTTCAATCAGATTGTCGGGAGTGCTTTAGAAGAAGTGACATATTCTTAAGGAATAAAGGCAAACATGCCTAGGTTATTACCTGGAGGCATCTGTGATTCACTGCTGCTAAATACGAAGTCCTGTCAAGCGAAAGTTCATCCTATTCCATCGAGAAACATTCGGACCATTTATGAACCAATCAGAACACAAACAGAGACCTGGCGCAGTTTTCAACTGTCTACTGTTTGGTGTTTGTTGTCACAACTAATATCTCGGAGTTTAGATAACCACATATTACTTAAAAATTAAAAGATATTTCTTCGAAATTATTCTGTAATCATTAAATTTCAAAAGTTGATGTCCACTTACAGTGAAAGTAAACAGTTATTTACATTCCTTGAGAATTTTCATCTCAGCCTTTAATTCCAGAGGTTAATGTACATCTCAAACCACGACTCGTATTAAGTCATTTGTGTGCGAAAGTCGGGACTTACACTGATCATTTTGTACAGATGTGATAGATGAAGTTATAGTTAAAGTTATAGTTAAAGTCGCCAACCGGTATGATGTACATCATACCGGTTGGCGACTCATTTACTAGGTACAAGTTTGGACACCTGACCAAGCCTATGTAGCCGAAGGTGGATAAAGTGACAATGCCTTAACCACTAAGTCACTGTTATAATGGGTGTTTCTAAAGATACTTTGACCGATCAATATTGTGACACTGATATTCGGCTTTGGAATATGTTTTATCAGAGGATGGTGACATAATAAAACACCCGAGTTAACAGACCTCAACCATAGTGAATTTTCGTTTCTTTTGGTCCTTGTTATGGGTGCTTGTCAAGTTATGTGTGGAAGTGTCTTCATTTTAGTATTTAACACGGCTTCATCAGCCTGGTCACGTTCTACATGTTCTATCCCAATATCCTCCACACTGCTCGTCACTAACCGGTTGGAAAAACAGAAAGCTAGTAGCTTGGCTGCATATATTGAAGGGTGGCTGTGTTCGATTATTACTGAATGGTCCACCGTAACTATCTAAATCAGGTCTAACGATCGTACAACTCCAGTTGGATATATGCTTCGCCCAGTGGGAATTTTCCTGTTGTATTTCTGTCAGGTGGTAGGAACTTCTAACAATAAAATGCATCTTGGTTGTGAGCTCGCTGAAAATATTTATCTATACATTTTTACCTGTATATCGGTTGTGTGATTTGTTTTCCAATTCTTCGTAATATTATTATGTCACATCATATAGTACATGTAGTGGTGCCTACCGATACCAAGGTTTTCTTTGGGTATTAATCATAGTGGATAGAAGGCCAATAATGACTTTTTATAAAGCTTCTATTCATTCCACCTCACTGACAAGTCACTCAGCTTTCGACCACTATTTCGGTCTAAACATCGCTGCACTTTCTCATATGTATTAGTTTAATGTTGGTTTACGAAACAAAGTGGATAAATAGCTTATTTTCGGAGCTCCAGAAGATCAAATGGCAGACAGCAAATCTTGAGAGGAATTGTCGTAAGCGTTTTGTACCAAACTAAACAAAAAAGCTAAAGGTACTGCCCTTCGTTCTAAAACTTTTCGATACAATCATTAAGATCATGTAAATACGTACATTCAGTTCAAAAAACCTTAGTACTTTGATATTATGTGTAGTACCGCATTGTGATATGGAACTAGGACGTTTCAAATCAAATCTATTTATTGCCAGTATAGGAACAACAGAAATAACAACAGGAGCTTTCTGACGGAGAAACACTAGGATATCATTAATACACTGACAAATTCTAAACATTTTTCGACTTTAAAAGTGGATAAAGAGTCGGAATTTGTTCTCGAGAGAAAGATTTCCAGGAACTAACCAAAATGATCTTACTGACGGTATAGAGAATAACCTTATAAAATCTTCAATGATGCTCGAAGATTAGTATATGATTTTGTCAAACTCGTACGAAACAATTAGGGCGATGGAAACTCATTTATCAAGGTTATATGAGTTGTCGAATGTCCATCGAGACCAACAGATATGTATAACTTCTCTTATACTATTATGAATGGGTTGGTAACTACTTTGAAACCCCTCTACACGAAGATTGTGAAGTAGTGCTAACTGTATCTCCGGAATTTTCAGCAAGAGCAGACGTGTAAACACTTCAAAACAAAGACAGAGCCTCTAGATGTAACATCATGATTCTTAATTGTTCCAACCATGGTGACCGTCGAATATATATGTCGGTAACTCGGAAGAAATGAAACAAAGGAATTTCGTTTGCTATCATAAGTGTTATTACTTTATCACAATATTTAATTTGTAACGGCAAAATCTACAAACAAAGGATTGGCCTCAATGAGTTTACCATCAAGTCTATATTAGCTGATACATTTTCAATTAAACTTGTAAACGGTCCACTTTATAAGTTTACTCATGAGTTCAGACTTTACTGTCGTATGGTGGATACAGTTATCCTTTATAAAAATAGTACCAGAGATCATAGGCAATTTGACGAAGTATACTGTCACCGAGTTCGCATGTGATGAACGTTAAGGTAGGATGTTTTGCTGGCGAAACGAGTTGATAAATGGATAAGGAATTTAAACAAGAAAATACTTGGGTGGTGGAAAATACACATTTCTCCAACCTTGTGTTTCTGCAGTACGAAACAAACTTAGTAAGACCACTTATTTACAGCATAGCGGCCATATTCTCTACTCATACTATCACAGAAAATCTGAAAGCCGTGCATAATACTGAGAAAAAATTAATATGTGGGATATTTACAAACAAATATCTGGTTACAAATTTTGTAAAGCAGATATTTAGACTTCTAATAGGAAATCTCTACAATCCAGAGGTTGTGTTGCCAGTAAAGTAATAATCCCGAAATTACCCAGGATAGTGGAGAGAGTGTTAAGCAACAAGTTCTCCGTGCTTATGGTGGTGTCACATACTTAAGGGCTGATCAACCAAACTACTAAGCCCTTTGTATTCGACTATTCGACTACTGTGTAGCAAGTCACACTCACCGACGATTCATGGATTCACATTTTCTCGCTCCTTAATTCCTCCATTATGGATAAGCGAAATAGTAAAACCGTAAATAGCTCAGTCCCGCCCTATTTAGTTCAGACGAATCATATAGCCGGGATAAATCCGTCGTGTCAGTAATCACCTCCCAATGTCTGTCAAATGGTAGAAGCGATGGTTATAGTGATCGGAATACTGGGGCTTAGTGTATATCATAAGTATCTCCAGCCTCTTCCTATACTTTGTATTGAATTAACATTATCACTAAATTCATATTATTTTACACACTATGTAATCTTCGACGAAGCCCTTTCTGTAATTTTCAGTCACATTATTTTTCTCTTTTTAATGTACCCATATTTATTCTGATTATTGGTTTCACAATTTGAGTTGATTTTTTTAGATTTATTTAAGTTAGTATTACCTATTGGTTACAATATGAGCAATGTTCTTCTAACAATCCTAAATTCATGCGCTATAATTTCAAAGAACCTGTTCTCTGTAAACGTGCTTATTTTATTGGTTCATTAATTTGGTCTTACTACCGTAGAACATGAAAATATATTGGAAAAAACTTTTCGTTCGCATATATTTTTTTATAATGGTAAATTTGCGATGAGTTGACATTTCTTTAAGATTGTAATGTTCTTTGATTTCAGGCATCTCAAGATTGGCATCGTGATGCAGCCATTTTGGCTCGCCTCATTAAAGATAACAAAGGGAGTATTGTCATTTATACTGGTGCTGGCATAAGTACATCGGCGTGCATCCCAGATTATAGGGGGACAAACGGTTTGTGGACTGTGCATTCTAATCGCGTAACAGGCGTTAATTCAGGTATCACGTTATGATCAGATTATTAGTTTAGTGCTACGTACCGTTGGTTATAACAAAAATGATCAAGCGAACTATACTGAGATGCTGAAACTACAGGTATAATACAAAATATCTGCACTTTATTTATTAGGATAAAATACGTCAATGTGAATCACGGATTAAAACTCCTAAAAAGTCAAAAAACACCAACTTAAAGTTACGACTTCCAGAAGCAACCATTGCAAAGCCAACATTCACTCATATGGCTATCAAAGTTTTGGTAGATGAAGGATATGTGCGTACCAACTTAATAGTATGAATTTGAGTTTCTTTTAAACTTGTTCTTGAATCCCATGTAATTGCCTTTAATTCAATAAAATTGTCTTAATTGTAGGATCTTTGATAAGCTGTCACTTTACTATGAACACTTAAACTGATGAATTTATACTAACTATGATAAAGAGATTCACTGTAGATAGCGTTCTTGAAGTATGTGTACCAACTGATATACCCTAACGGGATGGCTGCAATTATATAAAAGTGTTTACTTGAGATGTATATTAATTCAGAAAATATTCGTAGCACAAAGTTTTGTTGTGTAAGGATTTTCGTTCTCACTAGTTGAGTTACTATCGTTCAAGTAAAATCAAGTTCTTTTCACACTTTTTAGTTGGAATTATAGGCTTTAATGAAATGTTCACTATGTGGTTTAAAGTTGGGCTAAAATGTTATAATAAAAGCTCTCTTGTAGAGACTTTGATTCCATAAAATGATTGTTGTTACAGCTGTTACCTGAAAATTTCTGTCAACCTAAGATGTGAAGCATTACTCTGATATGACATCCGAGTTTGCTGTTCTGTTTGATATAAGCTGTTGTTGAAAGCTACGATGTGCAGTTGACTGTAATGTTTGAAATACGCAGGGTGTTATCTTGTTGGTAGAAATAATCACCAGTGGTCGCATAAAAAGCAGGTTGTATGATCGGTACTTTTACACTGAAAGAGGTTAAGTGAATAGTTTAAATTTCTTCGGGCTTTACATGTTCTTTACCCCTGAGAAGAGAAAGCTGTGAATCAGCCAAATGTGCTGTTTTATGGTGTGATCGTTGAACTTTCGGTATTAAAAGGCAGCACCCATGTAATTCCCATTTGGCCAAGAGAGAAGTAGTTTGCCATCATATCTATATTCATCTAGCGAAATGACTTTGTCATCAACATCTTTTCAACCCCTCTAGCATGGTGGACTTCGTAGATAGACGTTCCAAACAGCCTAATTTGACTGTTACTGTAATTAACACATGTATGCAAGACGAGGCTTTTTTCTTATCTCAAAATCCTCTTCAGCATTTCTCTATTTTGTGTCAGTGATCATTATGCTACTTAGCTGTAAAGGTATTTATCAGTCTAAATGCTCACAAGACTAAATTTGTACCTAGGGTTTGTCACTAGCTGTATAAATGTTTCAGCAAACAATAAAATGTGGAATTAACTTTTTTGTTTCTTCATCTGAACTTCACTTACTGTTGACATTAGCAGTCATATTGAACTGATTGACTAATTGCTAAGTTGATGATTAACAAAAACTTTCGTCTCTGTATAATCTCAGGTTCGACATGTCGTTTCTCAAAATGTTGATGGCTTACATGTGCGCAGTGGTTTAAATCGTGAAAAACTTTCGGAGCTACATGGTAATTTATTCATTGAAGTGAGTGCACTTGTACTTATGTATAAACCAATTTATTTTTGAACAAACTATTTTATGTGTCTGTCTCTGGTGCTAAAATCGACTGTTTTGTGTTTCGACACTCGAATTTTGAATCAAAGTACACAGTACCCACTGAGGTTTAAACTGCTAGTTATTATCATATTAAGCATTACAAAATAAAGGTGGCTTATTGCCTTGTCCATAAATATCTATTGAGGTGGTTAATTAGGTTTCTTAATTTCAAGTCTCTTGATAAGAAAAGTTAATAAACTGCAAACAGATAAATGTTCATTCCACGAAGAACCATTTTCGACCCACTCAAAAGTTAGACACATCGATAATGATAGTTTTCAATCTCAATGATAAAACCTTTTGTGCTATCTACAGTTTGCCATTTAATCGCAAATTACATAGCATCAGTCCACCAGTACTCACAGGACGCTGTTTTTAGGTAGTTGTTAGAATAAAATTCGTCAGTCATGTACTAATTAGAGTAGGGAGTTGTACTTGTCACTTGAAGTCGAAATGAGGCATTACTTGTATAACTAGGTCGTCTATACTGTCTTCAAAAATTTGGTAAGATGTAGTTACTTTTGCAAGTATGTGTCTAACCAATACTCAGTAACTGAATAGAGGTTCATATTTTAAGATATGAATTACATCTTACAATAGTTGATCACTTAATCGTAATATGTGAGCCTACAGTTAGAATTTAAATACATAGACCAGTGAATTAAAATACGGTACTTCTGATTTTCGCATATATATCGCTGCTTTTCTTCTGTGTGAGTTTTTTAAATTATTTCATCCTTCGTCTAATTATTTATATGGTGTGTTTTGTCAAACAAATGAATAAAGTGCTTTATAGTATAAATCATACTTTGCCTTGATATTTCTTATTGTAGCAATGCATCGCTTGTGAACACACTGTTTTTCGGACTTTTGACGTTGCCGAAACAACTTCTCGTTCACACCATTATACTGGACGCATTTGTCCTCGGTGTCGTAATTTACACCCTGTTGAAAGTACAATAGCCAGTGATATACTAAAGAAAACAGCTGAACATTCGGCAGTATCTAAATACAAGAAAAATGTATCAAATGAAAATCTTATGTTGAGTTACCGATATGCTGCAAGAAAATTAGCCAAATCTTTTGAAGCTGTACGTCTTAAAGCAGTGGAACATTTACGCAATACTCAAAAGTCTGAGATGCTGACGGACTCAGTTCTTACGAAGGCACCTTTACTAAGAGATGTTGTTGTACACTTTTTTGAACGACAACCAGAGATGGGGTTAACAGAAATATATCGCATTCGATCAGCGATCGAAGCTGTACATGGCCGTAAAGTTCTTCAAGATGCTATCAATGCCACTTCGAATGACCGTAAACCTTTGAATCATGGATGCAAACGTTCCCATGAAGAGTCAACAAAATATCTCATTGGATCCCCATGGTTTAAAAGAATGTGTCCTGCTATGAAGATGGAGTGTCAGGATTTTTGTAAAACATCAGAAGCAGTTGATTTAAAACCTATCTCTCCGGATTCTTTGGATACTCCTGCTAAATTAATTGTTGTTGTTGGTTCATCTTTAACTGTTTTGCGCAACTATTCATTTTTATGGCCTTATGGCCTTGGGAGGTGCGGTCAACTAAGTTCGTCGAGCAAACATAAAAAGAAACCCACATGTGTTGATTCTGTTTTCAAACCGACTTCAATCCCTGATACCCCTGAAAATTGTCGGTTGGTTATTATCAATTTACAACCAACGTGCAAAGATGTGGTTGCAGATTTGGTACTTCGAGTTCCTTGTGACGAACTATTTCGCGTTATTATGTCAGATCACTTGGAAATAGATGTTCCACAATATGACCACAGGCATGATCCCCTTTATTCAATCGGTCTTTCTTTATCTCCAGAAGAAGAATGCACACGTACTCGTTTGAACATCCCATTTTCTTCCGTATAATATTTCAAAATTTTTCACTCTTTGGTGTACAGTTTCACATGATTTGGTTGTAGCTATTGGTTACTGTTTCGTTCTTTAGACGTAGAATAAACATTTCTCTTTTGTACTCAAAACAAGAATCAGTACCTTTGTAAATAATAAGGTGCATTCCCATAATTAAAAGAACCTAATAGAATTACATCGTGTCATAGTAGTTTATTTGCTCTCGAATTAAACATGGATTCGTAACACCAATCGATCAATTCCTGAATACTAAAAAGTACATTTCACTTTTGGCTCTAGTTGAGATTATTTTCTTTTTTTCACTCCTGATCTTTAGCCCGTCCCTTTTTTGTATAAAATTCTCTTATTTATAGTATTTTTTTCATATTAAGGAGAACTAAGAGACAAGATAAATATTATCGTGATGAACTTCGTAAAACGCTATTGATCCAATATTGAGATGTCTACTACGGGAATCGAAGTGTTTCAGGTAGAATTCTGCCGAATTCTTCGTAGTTTGAATATCAAAAACCTTGGTCGCACCGCACTAGGTATATTTTTTCATATTTTTACTCAGTTCAATAGTTCAAGAAGTTAGTCCGTTAGTGTCTTGACTATGTAGCTACGGCATCTGAAATGTCTTAGTTTACTTAATAAGTTCTTGATGTCATTGGATAATTCGTGGTTTTGTAAGATCAGCAGCTTAGTGATCAAAACACTGGTTTCAACCGTAAATCTCAGATTCGAAACACCCTCCACCTACTTCAACTTTTACAACAGAGGTATTATTATTTCCCGTCTTCTCACGCATACAAACAATATGCCTGAAAACGGAGTGAACAAACCCGTACTTGGTAGATGGATTACTTAATTTAGTAATTATTTCCTTCCACGTTACATGATGAAGTGAACTATTTTAATGTCAGACGCTAAAAATAGTTTGTTTGTGTTCCATCGATTTAAGGTTGTAAACGGTTGCGAAAAGAACATTTGGAGACTGATTGTACATAGGTTCTTATTTTGTCGTTGATAGTTTCTACATTATAAACCTTTCCGCTAGCGATTGCCAATTCCAAATTGCTTACTGACAGTCTTAACCATTTCGATGATATCTTGATAAATGTTTAAACTTCCAGTTAACAGGAATCAGTTGTATATATTTCCGTAAAAGATGCCTAGTTCACACTTGTTACTTGCATGTTTATCATGTATACATCTTGTTAACTAGTTTGCACTTCATACATGTTTCGTTTTTTTTGGGTTCGTATTTTTCTTAGGTTTTAAAGACAATAAATTAACAATCAGAAAGTTATAAACAAAGAATATTACTGAATATATTCATTATATAAAGGAAACATTTTTTAAAATGAAAAAAAGATACCTTTGACTTACAGCTTAGTGACTGTGTCATTTTAGTAGATACAAACTCCTCGATAAGGGTCGACGCGATTATCGCAACCAGTTGTCGTAGAAGTTGGGTAACATAGTCCAAGATCCGTCGCATTAATGTGGATGCATTCACTCGTTTTCTTTTATTAGACCTCAAGTTTCACAATTATCATACATTTTATTGTATTATTCTTCAACTTTATCCTTCTCGAATCGTATTGACTATGCCTGATCTTATCTACTACTACTGGTATTACACATTATTCTAGGATTTATCGTAATTTCATCTCGTGCTAATGTGGTGTGGTAGTTTGAACGAATGCAAATGTGTCATTCTATTTCGCGCAATGCTGACTGGCTGACTGATAGCTCAATGACAAATTACCAGTGATTTTGACCAAAATATGATCTGAACCGTTAATGTTAGGGTTATATTCATTTCCGTATGTGGGATTCAGTCCTGTAGGTAAGTCGCTTACAATCAAGAACTCAGTCATGATCTAGATGATATCTGGTGCTGTTAAAGGAACTACTTTATAAGTTTAACCAAAAAGCATTAACTTTCTTTTAAATTCAACTTAGATATAGTTTGATTTTGAGGTCATATTTTATATCTGTTCAGAATGAATTAAAACTTCAAAATTAAGTGTTACACTTATATGATATGTTAAATGCAAAGTTTGGTTTGATCGTGATGTAATAAGAATGTCGTTACACATACCACCTGCAATAATTTAGGTTTGTATTAGCTAATTTAACTAAAGTATCACAGTATACGATAAAGTAAACAAACATAATGTTAACATCCTGACAGAAACTGAAGGTCTATCACCAGTATTACACCAGTCTTTGGAGCAAGTCGCAATGCATCCGTGGTATAAGTCATCATCTAATTGGAATTGTCCACAGTGAGTTGGTATGTCGGTTAGTTTATCCATAGAGCATCTCCGTATCAGTAAACTGGAACCATCCTTCTGGCGAATACCCTTTATTTTTGTGCAGTAGTGGGCATAGAACAAACCTTCATGTCCAGGTATCGTTTGACGGCATGGTCGTTGAATCGTGATATGAGCACTGACTGGATCCTCACATGGTGGGTTACTTTTGTTCATTGACACACAAGAATAACAGGCGATTGCTGTTGCTGTGAAGTTTTTATTAAGAGAAATGCAGCAAGTTTTTATTATATGACATGATGAATGCGTTACATATTTTTAATTACAAAAGGAACGTTTAGTTATCGTCATTATTTTCCTTTCCACATAGTTTCTCTGGTTTTGCAGCTTTTATTGGTATTTAATTAGCTTTCTTAGTAACAAAGCATAGCTTGTTTGATAAATTCTCAGTGCACCTTCAAAACTTACATCAGGGAATATACTGGAGTTAACTGATTATCGAAGTCGGACTAATTAATTCTATGTACATGTTCATTGTGTTATCACTTAGTTTTGTTATGATGCATTAGGTCTTCTCAGTAATCATCAAACCAGGGCTTCGTTGCCTATTTAATCGTTTGAAAGTTGTTCAAAGTGAAGTGGCGGCGAAAACACAAGTCAACTGCAGCTATATACGTGCAACTGTTTGGATTTGTAGTGTACTAACTAAGCACAACTTCTGATTGTAGTTAGTATATGTATCTAGTAATATGACTCGTTTGCTATTAATAAGTTGGCTACTTAAAGCAAGTGATACCAGTATATCATAGACTACTGTTTTTCTCGTGAACTGAAAGATCCTTCAAAAATTACTAATGGTCAGATCAAAGCTCTGGACAACTTGACATTCGTCTTTGCTCATTTTAACTTTTTGAAGTTAAATATATTTGTCAGAAGTGTACTAGTTTTGATTACCATCCCAAATTTTCTGGAGAACTGCACAAGCACAACATCTTAAGACAAAATAAAGTAGTAACAGAACTTTGAAATTTCAGTAAGTTATTTCTTAAAATTGAACTTCAGAAAGAATACTGAACTATACTGTAGAGATTTTTACGTTGCTGTAGAAATAGCTGACTTTATTACGGTACTAAATTTAGCTACACCTTAAAACTTGAAATGGTTCAGTCTTATAATCTCTTATAATATGAAGCTCTATTCCACCAAAAATATAGATTTAAAATGGTTCGACAATATGTCGATAAAAGTAGAATTACATATGAAAATTTGTCAACTCACCTACATTCGCTTTACATAATACGTAAAAAATAATCAAATGGCATACTGTTACAAATGAGATTTTCTGACTACTGATTACTTTCATATCGATTCATCTTATCAAATTCCATAACATTTTAAGCTTATTAAAACAGTATAAAGTTCTTTAATATTGTAAATAATTCATGTCCTAAAATATACTTTAAATGAAAAAAAATGTTTTATTGGTTGATATCGGTCTAACTTTCATGTTGTTCTCATTGGTTAAGAACTAGTTACTATAGGATTGACAAATATCTGATTGGTAGTTTTTTTTATTAAATATAACTTAATTGTGGATTTGTCCATAAACAAGCATAAATACAATTTAGCCATTGATTATAATGATTGGAATGTGAGATTTTGTTAATAAAATAGTATTATTTATTCTTTTTGATGAACATTGATAATACATCTGATAGTTGGAAAAGTCAATGCAGGATAAAATTGAGAAAATTCAGAGGTTTGATTATATAATGGAATGAACAAAATTTTCTTGATAGTAGTTCTTGTGCATAAAGGGGTATTTTATCTACAAATGAAGTTAAATAGTGTTTAACCCAAATCGGATGTGAAAATGTATCTTTATAGTTGTCAAGTTACAAAGTGTACTTTCAAAGCACTAAGAATATCTTCACCACGAAAGTTAGAAATGAAATACTTGGCAGTGATTGATCTGCTTTAACCACTTATGGGATTCGTACGCTCAATTCCTAAATTATTATGTATTCAGACTACGATTAATAGTAATGGCGTACGTCTTCATACTATGTCCAGTCTAGAATGTTAAATGATCTACTTTCTTTCACTTACCTACGCCTCTATTACGTATTAATTAGCGTAGATTTTGTTTCACTAATTGTATTTTCCTTACTGTTTTGTTATTATTGTAGTATTAGAAAGTTTAACGGATTGAATTATCTCTATTTAGAGTTTCGAGGTTCATTTTCTACTAAACAACTAATCAGTCAATTATTAAACACAGAGTTCATAATAGACATATCAATGTATTTATACATAAATAAATTTTAGTAGGAATATTTGTTCAAATACAATAATTAATATACAGGTATTTACAGTACAATGCAGAGTAGATAAATTAAGAAAACACCTAATACGAGGAAATTCCAAAACGAAATAAATAACAACGTAGAAACCCGGGCTAAAAGTGCGAAAAATGTTTTATCACAGTATAATTTTGCGGGATAAACTATTGTACACGTCTTCTGTAGGTATTTAAAAAAAAGAAGAGACTAAGAAGTAAGGAAAGAATGAAATTATGTAAATTATTCCGTTTATTAAATAAATAACAAAATCAAATGAAAATAAACAACAGAAGTGATGAAAAGATTGAAGTAGACGGGTAGAATTTTACCGGATTGACATCGCAGAATGAACAAATTGTAAATTAAGTATCACCACTTTTTATTGTCTTAATTTATTCACGAGTATATGGAATTTTGTAAATAAATGCGAAGGTGGTTACTGAAAATGGTATTCAGTAGTATAGAATAAATTGAAAAGTATTCAGCAGACTTTATGCCATTATTTTGTTGATTTTAGTGGAAATTCATCATTTTGTTTCATCCCTGTAAAACCATTAGTCAAAGTAGATTTAGGTATCACGATCAAAGGATCAAGTAGTCGTTTAACGTTGGTGAAATTTCTTTCCAACTCTTTATGATATTCTATCTGATCAGAACCGATTAATGATTCATTTAGACGGAGAGCTTCATATGATCTATAATTAGGAATGGACAAAGGTGTAATAAGGAAAAAGTGAGTCTGCAAATCTTGTAAAAGTGGTTGCTAGTTCTAGAAAAGCACAACTTGACAAAAAACTATCAGCACAGTTTTTTATAAAGTTATTTTCTAAGAACACATCAGTATTGGTTACAAATGTAAAACAGGGAATTAAGCTTAAAACAATTGACCTATATCTTATTTCCTTAAATACTGTTGAGTTTTTTAGATGATAGTTTAACTTAACAGTATAAGTATAGATTCAGTATAATGTTGCTTAATAGCAGTTAAGTCTAGTTTGACCAGCCTAACTTAAACACTGTGTTGTGTGCCTGTAAATGAAATTCTTCGACGTTAGCCAGATGTAAAATCATAAGGATACAATTCATTTCTCGATTTTTGTGCTTGTATGAAGCGTCTCATAAATATCAAGACTGAACTAGTTCACTTAAAAACTATGAATAAGAATAAATGGAAGCTATCGAGTCAGTGTATGGAGTATCCTGTATAGAAAAATCACATATGTATGGATGAGTTTCTTGTTTTTATGTTCATGAATGTGTTGTACCATAAAGTATAGTGACCTGTTGAGAGAATATATTCACAAGAATTTCCAGTGTAATTTAGTTAGTTACTAATTAACTTTATTATTCCTGCAGTTAATTCACTGAAATAAATGTTTAGTCATACGGATTGATTAAAAAGGTGTTTAGACATATAAGATCTGTGTTTTTTGTCTGACGGAGCTATTTTAATCAAGTAATTTAACTGTTAATACTCTATTGACGATAGCAATATATACTAAGTTCTCATTTTTGCTTCAAATTACAAACACACCTACATATTGTTACAGTACTTTTTGTTAAAACATATACATTTATAAATGATGCAGTAAAAAATTACTTTATCAGAAATTGTTGAAAAGTTATCCTAAGACGATTTTGTATATCTTCATATGTAGTGGAATTCAATGTTGTAGACGACTTATTCTTATCGGGAATTAATGATTTTAATGGTTTATTTTTTTCATGCCCCAAGAAAGTTGTTGCCATTTCAACAGGTCCTTGGTTGACCACAGTTCCGATGCATCCCTGAAAGAAAAAAAGCGTAATTATCAATATTCCCGATGAAATCTTACGAATTAAAACAAAAACAAACAACATATTGTAGTAGGAGATTGGTGAAAACCTTAGAGATAATACAGATCGGCATTGTAAGTTGTCACTTTTGTTAATGGGCGCTATGTCTTAGCATCGTAACTTCTCTTAAATATCCACTTCTAGAAATAGTTTGCCATATTTAATTATTATACAAAGCAGTCATATTACTTTTGCAAAATATCCAAATGCATTATATATTTTTGTGTCTGCTGTTATTATCAAACAATAGTTTACTGTAGTAATGCCCATGGACAATTTAGTGGGTATCCGTTTAGTGATTTTTAAAACTTGATTTGTGAACAATTGTTACCAAAGTTTGTTTCCTTAAAATTTTATTCATGTTTAACGTGATTATCAGTATTACATAATACTGTTTCTGTGTACTGTATAATATCTGGTATTGTAGTGCGACCCGAAATCTGACTCCGATTAGATCGGACGAATGATTGCTATGGAAATATACATGCCACCAACTCTTGTATGTAGTTATCGTCTTAAATCGCGTTAGCGAATAAAGGAATTAAATAAGTCCATTACGGGAATGGATTTAGAATACGTATATTTCATACAATCGTTGATCCAGACTAACAATCAGAAAAAGGAAGCGAACCGGAGATGGTATGTGAACCAACTCGATCTAACCAAGGTTGAACCGATATTTATAGTCAGACAAAAAGAAGTTGCCAATTCATAATGAATAGGGTAAATAATTAACACGCAATCATATAAAAAACAGTCAGGACTAATAGGCGAATAAGTGACAAGGTAAGAATGTGGCTTGAGAAGAATGAAAAGATTGGTCTGTCCAGAAGCTAGAATAAACTATGTGGGCTTGAAATAATATCAGCCCCTACAGTACAAACACATTTCCCCTTGTGTAATTATCACTCAAAAAGTACTACGTATCAACTACAACCTGTTCTCATTGTTACTTCCGTCAATAAAAAGGATTCTCAACTGGTATTTTACAGAGCTATTTCTGATCATCCGATAACCATTGGACCTTGATACCAGTATAACTAAGTATCGTGAAGTGGAATTCAGTCAGCAACAGTTCTAGTAACGAAAAACTCGTGGATACTTTGAACTATTATTTTAGAATTATCGATTTATAAGTAAAAATTAGAAACCAAGGTATAAAGAAGGGGTCAGTTCATGCCAATCACTTGAACTGTTTTTTCTTTTGCAAATCACCTACCAATACACCTTTAGGTATTCAACTCTGATCGACCTCTCGCTCTATATCAAATATGGAGAATCTTGCACAATGAAAGAAAAATATGACAATAATTATAAGTTTACAGTTCTAGAATGTAATAATGTAAAATTCGCCTGTACATTTTATATGATTAGAGTAGTTTGTCGAAATACAAAATGCAGAGGTCAGTTATCTAGAGAAATGTTGAACATAAATTTATTAATTAAATTAGCTAATTTTTAGGTGAACTAAAACATCTATATACACACTAGTAATCACGGAAATTTTTTAATTGAAATGAAATTTGAATGAATCACAACAACCTACTTGTAATAACATTTGTAAATATTTAACGTCAGGTGGTTCTGTTGTTAATACTCGATCTAATTGTTCAACTCGATGTGTTATATCTTCTAAAGCAACTTCAATTGGGGTCAGAGTATGTGATTCAGTTGATACAACTAATAAACGTGTCTTCATATACGGAAAACATCGGGATGTTGTTAGGATGTATTTTCGCTTGTATTGTGTACTTAAACTACCATGAGCCTGTCCATCAATTGTGAACGGTAGAGAAAGAACAAAACGCTCTGAAAAAAAAGTGATAGTAAAATCCCTTCACAATAAAATACTAAATTTTGAGGTAACACACTAGAAATAGAAATGTACCAACTCTTCAGTAAATGAATTCCAATCTACTTACATTAGGTAAATACTGTGTTTATATTGTCGTATGGATAGGAGAGACAGTACAACAAAATATTCAACTACAAATAGATTGTTAATAATTGTTTAAGATAAAATATTAGAGAAAGTAGCATTGTCAAATCGTTCTTTTTCTTAAATGTTTTTTTTGTCTTGTTTAATTAATCAACCTTATTCACATGTAATCTGTAAATATATTTCTTTGATCCATACACTAAAAACAGGGAAAGCTTACTTTGTCCCTATGGTATGTAGACTACTTAACGCCACGCAATAAGTGAGATGATGAATAGAAAGAATAGGGAAGATGAGTGTAGTAAAGAAAAATAGCAAAATAATAGGCGTGTGAGAGTAAAGAGGAGAAAAACAAATAATGGGAGAAGCAGTTCAATTAAGAAAGCTGTAAATAGAAATCCTTTTGGCTAGAGAAGTTCCGCTCACTTCTATGAAGATAATGAAGGGAAATTACAGCCGGATTGGCACTGGCTTTTATTCCGAAACATTTCCGATAACTCTTCAAGCTACTGTGCTTTGTGTAACTGCTCACCACTAAGTGCGAGTGTAGGCACAGGTTTCTGCTAGTCTTTTAGAAGCACTTTGGACTTACAAGGTGCAAAGCACATGCCATACTTAAGGACATTCATTACCAATTGACTAAGCGCTGATTGCACGACTTGAGTATCAGCAAACAGTAAAACGACATCTGCACACTCAAGGTCGAGAAGAATTTCTCCAGTTAACAGATCAACATCACAATTACCTACTTTCATCAGAGGTGCTTTCAGAATCCTATCGATGGTAGAGTTAAAGAGGATTGATGGGATTTGGCAGCCCTACCTGATCTCACTGCTTGAATGAAACAATGGAGAGAGGTGGTTATATCCCTTCAATCTGCCTGAGGTGTTTATATAACGAAACTTCAGGATTTCAATGAGCTTCTCAGGCTCACCCATCAACAAACAATCGCAGAGAACAGTCCTGTCCAATGATATGAAGGTGGGTCTGACATTGAGAAATATAGATTGTTGCCCTACAATGAGTATAGCAGATAATGGCATTTTATAGATTTATTCAATCAATATCGTATTTTTTAGTAAGTTTATATTGTATATAGGGTTGTGGATAATGTTGAGTTTTAATTGAGATCATGAGCCGATGAAAGTTAGACCAACAGTGATCGGTTCATGATCTCAGTTAAAAGGCAATACTGTCAAGGTAATCTAGCGACATTTTTCTATTATGTAATCAGTAAGTTCATCTAATACCAATTGTAAATGTTTTTATGTTCTTACTCATAAGTACATCAGTGTAGTGAATGTGAGATAAGGGTTAATGGGGATCAAAAAAGTTAACTTTCATATCATCCTATGGTTTCAGATTTAAGTTCTCCTAAATAGTAGTTATTTTCACTAATAAATTAACATTTTGTAAGTCTACAAATAAAAAAATGTATTTAATACTGTACATATACAACTTCTAATATGTTTTTGATGAGAAACTATGATCATAATATATCAGTTACATGGTCGGAAACATTTGACTTTCATTGAAAATATCTAGGGGCAATTAAGATTTGATATCTCTGTCTCATACAACTATAGTATGATTAGTTAAATTACAGTAACATAATGAAAGGATAAAAATTAAAAAGAAAACTAGTCTCCGACTTACTTAGACCATAATTACAATGAAATTTAGTTGTACGTCTTCGAAGTTCAAAATCCTCCAAGTATGGTTCCACAAAAGTGATTTGAAGATAACCCTACAGAAATAAGGATAATGACATTGTCGGTTGAAAAATCTAATATAAAATATCCAGCTGAACAGAACATAATTCTTCTTCATATAAAAGATAATTAGAGTGTAAGATACATGGTGATGAAAGGTTAAGGGAGGATTGCTTTACGTTACATAATAACTATTAATAAGGTTCACGTTACAAATCATTGTACAAAACCGGTTACTACGTTTAAATTCCGAAGTAAGAAAAAAATAAGCAAAAAATAATAGATACGCAATAACTGTGTACAAAATAATTAACTATACTCGTAGTATGAACTTTGGTAACGATCAGTTTTTGTGTCAATAGTGCGGTGACGATTAAACTTGAACCTAAACACCGGAAAGTTAAGTGTTCAGATCACAGTTCCATGGAAAACCAGAACTACAAAGTAATGTTTCGTCTTATAAAGTAATCACAAGTTTATAATAAAAAAGACATCGATAAAATATAATTGTTGAATTCATGAGTCGATCTAAGCTAGACCATCATTGAAAACCTGGAAGCACTGGACGACCGTTATGTTCAATGCTTCCATGTGGTCTAGCTTAGATCGACTCATGAATTCAGCTTTTAAAATTAATACAATCTCCACAAATTCTCATTCTGATGATCAAATATAACTCCATTATATTAAACATACAAGTGTGAAGTAAATACCATGAATAGTTCTATTTAAGAGTAGAGAGCACATATACGATCTAAAGCATACAAAAACAAACAGGCTATAAATATGCATTAGAATATCAAAACTCGTTAGTTTCAGACCATTACTAACTTTGGTGTGAAAAAATAATGTACATATATTCCTAATGAGTAAAATGCCGAACTTAATGAATATGAATGAAAGAAACGTCAAATAAATACATCATTTAATGAGGAAATAAATAGCTTTATAAATCAAATATTATGTTCTAAAACTGATATAGTCAACTCAGGTATAGCCTAACTTTCTTCAATTTCGAAAACGAAGGGGAGTAAATATCAAATATTTTTGAGAATAACTGAAATTTTCGAATTGATATGATGAAACTACCGAATAAAACGTTTACTAATAGTAAAATATGACGATTGGTTTACTTGGATATTTACGTGGTGAAATTGCTTTTCGAAAGTAAAATACATTTTTTAAAAACTAATTTCTGTAGTGTTTTTTGCTTAGCATTAAATGGAATTATGAAGTTACCGATTGAGTTGTTAAGATTATATTAGTGAACTCACACTATTTAACGAGTATGGTTTGACTGAAGATAAGTAAATTATGTTCAATCCTCAATCCAAAAAAGTTTTATTAATCGATAACCCTGACATTTTGACTTTTATGGATCTTGGAAATAGTTAGAAATTTTTTTGAACTGAGCAATGAAAAAGTAATTTACAAAACACATAATTTACTTACTTTATCACTATCTAATTGTTTTTCGTCTACAATATTTGAATCTTTAATGATGACTATCCTGTCTTGACCAAATTTATCTCCATAAAATGCCTACAGAATTACAGGCAAAAAAGGAAAGTACATAACAACAGATATGAGTTAGAGTTTAATTAGAATTTTCACTAGATAAATATTAAGAATAAACCTAAAAGAACATTTGGAAGGAAACTTTTTGAAAAACACCGTCCTTCAGGTGAGTTGCACACAGTCTCACAAGCAACTAAGGACAGATTTGATTTTTACATTAATCTCTTCAAGTTATTTAATTTTCAACTTTTTAGAAAATAAATTTCATGATAATTTAAATTTTGTTGTACTATTAACACTAAGTGTGAACTTATTATGAGCTCGAAGTCCAAAGTTTCTGTTTTCCACAGTGACAGGAGTCGTTAAAACAGACACAAAAAGGTGAATTTTGGTGATCTTGCATAAAAATTGAAAACTGCGACAAAACTCACTTCTTAAAGTTACACAGAATGCGTTTCTACACAAAAGTAATAAAAAATCTTACTTGAAGTCTATGAGTGATTTCAGCCAATTTCGTGAATGGAGCTTCTTTATATATAAAATCTTTACCGTTTAATTCACCAAAAATAATTCCATGAAAACCAACACGGAAATAACTACTGAACATTCTTTTAGTATTCTGAAAAAATTAGAAAAGGTGTATTGATTAGTATATTTCTCCAGTATTATCGCGGTTTTATCACCGAAATAATTCGACAAGATCACTAAGCAAAATGAAAATATGGGAATGCGAGACGCGTGCAGACGCAACAAAAATACGTTGATGATATCAGTTCTAATTGGACTAATAAAGAGATAACTGGGAGTCATACAGAGAATACAAGTTTCCTTCATAATACTAAAAACCTAGAGATCTAACGCTAACAATAAAGATTGCCTTTTCTACACAACCGGAGCAACAAACATTATAAATCAAGGAAATTAAATAGAAGTATTTATTTAGAATACTTTCGAACCCGAAGAATCGCTCATCAAAGACTAATGAGACACATTATTGTGGGATCAACTACCAGAAATTAGTCTACAGGATTCGATTACCACTGAAAATCCCACAATCCTAACAATAATTACTTTACAGTGATCTATCAATGTGAATATCTTCGTTCGAGAAAAGGTCAGCTATTACCAAATAGCTAAGTGGTTAAGTCTTCATGACACTATGACACGAGTTTGGATCTCATCAAGCGCACTAGCATTTTAAGTTTAGAAACCTATATCTAGGGTTTCCTATCGATTGCGTCCAACTACCTAATATCCTTAAGATGATGTCATATTACTTAGATTTATTATGATAATACAGGTAAATTTTTAAAGATGAAGTAAATCACAAATATTGAATTCTATTGCCTTAAAAACTTTTACCGAAAAAGATGTTTCGATATTACCTGATTTTTATTCAGTACGGTATATGCATCTCTTATTCGTCCATGGATCTCTGCTAGACGTCCATAATCATTACTTGATTGCAACAAAAGCACAAGGCGAGAATATAAACATGGAACTATTTCATAAAAGCCAGCTTTTGCAAATGATTCTGCTGTCCAGGATATTAGTGCCATAAATCCAGGCATTGTAAAATGCCAAGAAACATCTAAAGGCATAAGAGATGATAAATCTTGTAGAATTATCGGTGTAGAACAACTGAACTTATCGAATACACTTGTATTAGGAAAGCCGCACGCACAACTTTCTTCAAGTATATTTAAATTTTGTACAGCATCAGCAATATCTGCACATCCAGCTGATGATAGTCCAGATGGACTACAACCTCGATTAATCATATGTTCAGCGACAATAGCTGTACAGTGTGCTAAGCACTGAGAAGCTTCAGCAAATTGAGAAAGCTATAAATGAATTCAGATTTAAATAGTTGTTAGAAAATAAAAAAAGCAAACTATTAAATTTAAATATTTTTCCAAATGTACGCTAATTGATGGCTCATAATTGATTAGATGTAGAAATGGAAAATCGACCTAAGTTCCTACATTAAACTGGAAAACTACGAATAAATAGTTACACATTCAAACTATTTGAATCAATTTGTGCTTATCGATGTTATTTCACTTTTAATAGATTTCCATTAAATCAGCATTTAAACGGAATATCACTCAATTAACAATTAAACTAAGAGGGTAACCTGACACCTGTTTAGTTCGTTCATTTCGAAGGCCTACAATGCCACAGTCAGGAAATATGTGAACTGTAAGCTTGAGAAAGACCATTTTGTATTCATACTTAAAATTAAATCGCAAGAAACAAGACTAAATTCACCACCTAATTTCATAACATCAAAACAAACAAAAACACAAAACATACTTCATAATGTTTCTCAGCAATTTGTAAAATCCAATACAATCGTAATTCCGGTGATGCACGATTTCTATGTGATATAGAATGTAATAAATCAATCATTGAAAGTGTATCTTCATTCACTGTTTGTTTAAAACAATCATTCGATTGTTCCTGTTGTCGTTTATATACAACATGGATTGTATCTTGTAATCGTATAGCATCATTTAATAAATAATTTAAATTATCTACTAGTTGACTAATTTGTAAAGTAAAATTTGAAGTGGGAATATTTGACATAAATGGTATTGTTGGCACTGTCATCGGTGTTGTAGTTATTCCAGAAACCGTATTATACCCATCGTCATTATTATTCAATGATAATGATGTTAAATTAAATGGTTCAATGTATCTTTCTGAATCAAACATTGTTTCGTCATAGTTACTGTTATCAATTAATTTAGTTGATAAGTTGGAATCAACATCTGATAAGGTTAAATGTTTTAAATAATGTAATGAATCAATTAAATATGCTTTCATTAACAAAGTAGACGACAATGTGAAATGAATATTTTCAGTATTCATTTTATAATTCGAATGTTTATTCATTAGTGAATTATTTGATATGATCATTCCACTATTAATTAACTTTGTAAAAAATGAATTAAATGTTAAATAAAGATGTACTTTGACAAAAGATAGATTCTATTGTTTGAGTAAAGAAGGAAAAAAAACGGAAATAAGATGTTGATTAGTAGGAAATTAGAAAGCATGAGAAAGAGTTATGAAGTAAACAACTAAATAATGTGGGCCATATTTGAAACAGTTTAATAAAGTATTGAAAATGTTAGTTGAACAATCATAAAGAGAATATTTCTGCAAATTATGAGCTAGTTTTATATTATAATTTTACATGTATTAACTAAACTTTATATTCGATCAAAGTAAACAGAATAGGGATTCAATGAAATTGGTTAGGGAAAGTAATTAAGCTGTAGAAAAATGGTTGATTTTTATGATTGCTCATCTTAGTGATGCGTTTTAACACGATAAAGAGTCACTCTTACTTGAGGTTAAGTGAACAACACAAGCGGGTTACCTGTTTCTATTCCTCTAGTATTCATCTTAAAACTCAACTGTTAATTTTACAGGATATATTAATTCACATAAAGTTTAATGGAAAATCCAGAAGGTTGATAAGATACAATCAATAAATGTATTTCCAATACTTTTTAATAAATCTAATAGGTAGAATTAATGTTTATTCGCTAACCATCTATTGAGATCGAATCAAATAACTATATATTATTTATCTAACATTTTTCACTATTTAATGAAAATCATTTTATTCAATGAACTTTCCACAATAGAGCTTATTTATTGACTAGTTCAATATATTAAATGAAAGATTTGTTAAATTTAACTTTGTGGAACTATTGTTAATAACAGCAGTACAATTAAAGTTATTGATATAATTTGTTGGCAGTTTTCCATTCTGTCTTTTCAAATCGTATTCTGAAGGTTTAGTGTTTCTCTTGAATAATACCACAAGATTGTTTTCATCTCTTTTGTTATTATCATGTCTTCATGCTAACCAAATACGGGCACTTTCGCCACCGTATATCTATACTCTACTCTATGTTTGTCTGTCATGCTCTTATTACAGGTAACCAATTAAATCATAATGAGTGATTCTCATATTATTGACATAAACTACAAGTTCGGTGATTATAAGTTGCCAGAAGCTATGTAGTCTGAATCGTTCAGTAGTAAACACTCACATTGTGATATACGTTCTAATCATCTAGGGAGCATTAGCTTGTTCAAGATTTCAAGTATATCATAGTGATAACTGCTAACTAGCACGAAACCTGAGTTCAAGATCTGTCGACTAGCTTCAACGACCTAATACCAAACCTTAGTGAAGAAATTGAGTCACTTAGATCATTCGCCTAATTGAAACTTGGTAGATAGAGTTGAGTCAGCACTAAGAACTAAACACATATGACAATGGTAACTATTCAGTGATTAGTCAATGTACAAGCATAATATCCTGTATATAAGATGGTATATAAGTTGAGAAAAGAATATTCGGATAAATACCAAACGATCAGAAGTGCTTAACTCATTTTTTACGATGCATCAGTTCATTAAACAACGCTACTGCTATTTATACTTTTAAGTTGAAAAATTTGATGTTAATGTCACTGAGAATGTTTTGTACTAATGAAAATGAACAAATCTTCACGCTATTATACATGCTTATAGTTCGTTCAAATGTTTATGACAGTAACTATAATTAATAGGAAATATCCACATTTTAAAATTTAGGATTGTTAACCAAAAATTCATGACATGTAAGCACCCACAAGCTTCAGTTCAGGTGTTAGGAAGAATGTGGTCGAAAGCACTGCCATAAAATATCAAGCCGGAGAAAACGTCTATTAACAATAAGTTATGAATATGATAACACATTATTGCATAATTATTCAAACAATATTACCGAAATTCAAAAGGAACCACGTACTTTAGTTAGTGTATGATAATTTTTTATTAAAAAATATAATGTATCTACAGCATCGTCGCGAACAGTTGTTTCTTTCATTGTACATAACCGTAATAAATGATGACATGAAACAGAACAAAATTCCGGATTATCTTCAAATAAGAAGCTAGGGAACTAGAAATAAATTTTGAAAGAAATCAACATCAAAAAGAATTAAATGTGAATTTACTGGAAAATACGACAATGAGAAAGGAAAATTATTTTCGAAATCTACATTGAACATAGTGATGAGGGATAAAACGTTCTTAAGAAAAGAATTCGAGGAAATATGTACTCTCGAATTGAGACTAATTTCAGATTGATTGATCAAATAATTCAGTTATTATATGCGAACGGGACGATTGGATTATAGAGGTACAAAGCGAACATATATTAATTACTTAAAAAATGTTAAAATAACTTACACGTGATATGATACGTTTCAAGGAAAGCAGAATGCGTTGATAACTCACTGAGCTTTGATTTAAACCAAGTACATATAAGATAATACGAATAATACAACTGATAAGACATTGGCTTGTAGAGGTATTGTTTTCATTATTAATCGAATTCGATTTCTTGTAAGGTAGAATACAATTAAATGGATAATTATAAAGTGTGAATAAACTTAAGCCAGGTTGGCCAAGTGCCGTGTCCGCTTGCCATAATCCCTGAAAGAAATATAAGTGCGAATATTCACTAAATCACACTATTCAAATAATTAAATATTCAACAAAAAATCATCACTAATGTGATACATTTTCGAACACACGTTATCTACTGAAGGGAAACAATCAAAACTATTAAAATCTCTACGATATCTATAATTAAACATGAATAACTAAATACTACGGTATACAACCATCTATGATGGCTAGAGGGATCAAGAGAGTTCAATATCCACTTAGGCATCTTTCAATCAAGATATCAAGCTGATCTATTCAGAATTGCTTTTAAAAATGAACCTGGTTTAAAATTCTAATCCTATTATGTGACACTGTGAAACAAAGAATAAATTTATTGAGTTATTATCCGATGACAAATCCATTGAAGTTTTGAGAAAAACTCCAAGACAATAGGAATCGAGAAATCAATCTAAAACTTATCATTGTAGGGCTGTAGAGTAATGTTTAAGCGTTTGACTTTTAGCTGCAAAGTCGAAGGTTTGAACCCTGCTCGATCTGCTTCAACTTGAGAAACCATGTGGTATCAAAAGATCGTAGCCAACCCGTATCTGGTAAATGAGCTAAATAAACAAATAACATTACAAAATGTATTAGCGCTAGCCTTAGGAATCTATAAATTTGTCAAACAATGTTCAGATATTTTTATTTTCTTGCATTAAATGTCTACTTCAAATAAATTTGTATTGAATATAAAATGGCATTAATGAACCACAAGCACAACTTGAATTTAAGTGTATAATATCTTTTTTAAGTACTAAACACTAATGACATGAATACTTCACATAAATTTTATAATTATTCTTTTAATTGTCTTAAAACAGGTGAGCACTGACAATGAATCTAATTTGCTTTCGATGAGAAAAAGGTATGAAGCTTAAAATGTACTAAATACGATACATCATATAAAACCCATAATGAATATATTTTCATCACTCCGGTAAGATGAAATTTACCAAATAATTCAACAATGTTTAAACATACTTCTATAGTAGCATCCAACGAATTGCACAAGACCATAACAACATCATTAGAAACCAAAATACTTCGTAGAACATTTAAATCTTGATTTGAGCTAAACAAATCTGTATCATTTGAATATGATCCCAGTGAAAAACTATTAGATCTTGTAAATTTAGTCCTGAGTTTTAGTAAAGTTGGACGAGAATGATATTGTTGACTTGAGGAAGTGTTGTTATTTTGATGAACATAAGGACTTGACAAAGTACAATCAACTGATGGAGATTTCAACTTGATAAGTGAATCATGAGGTGATTTTTTGAGGGATCGATCAACAGAAATATGATCTGTAAAGTAAAACAAAGGTTAGATTACGCTACAGTAACCTATAAATTAGATTCTTGGAAAAAAGTCACACTCTAAGTATAAGGGCGAATGATACTACCTGGATGACCAGATTGAAGTAGATGGTGTGCGGTTTAAACCTGGACCTTATGGTTGAATCCCTTAACCACTAAGCAACCGTTCCAGAGGTTATATATATATATATATATATATATATATATATATATATGTACTGCACAAATTATAAAAAAGTGAAACATAAGAATAATCTTTAGCATAGTGATGAAGATTGAATCTTTTTCAAAATATTTCTGACTTGTTATCAGTTGGAAAGATGTATTTGAACAGTGAGCCTTGGATTTTATGTTGTAAAGTTTGGAATTTATTTGACTTTTTCAGAAATAATGGCTAACATATTTTTTATGAATTCGATATTTATTCAATAGGACTTTGAGATATATCTGACAAGCCAAACGAAATGTTAACCTGATCTAGGTCTGGCTTCTTTTAGTGTATGAGTGATCTACAGAAGTTGTGTAACTTGGTCGCTTATATTTTGAATGAATCCTGTTCATGTTTATTTTTGTCGATTTTCAATATATTATCATGTTTATTCACGGACTAAAAAGCCATTGTCTGTTGACATTAAATAGCCATTCACAAATGATGCTAATTTAGTATCTAAAGTAGTTACCAGTTATTGCACAAGTTTCTATCAATCGGCGTTGTGTAATATTATTTAAACGACTAAGATGTACGTGTATCAAATTAAAAAGCCTTTCTTTTGGTAAATTTTACCATACAGACATTGTGTACTAAAAATTACATTACATGATCCACAGCGATAGACTGTATAATTAACACTAACGTTAAATGGCAATAAATCTATAATTTGATAAGAACAGAAGTTTGATAAAATGTATTTGTAAGTACAAAGTTTTTGCTTGAAATATGAAAATACTACTGAAGATCAGGAATTATTGAAACTTTGTCTCATGTTTTCAATCAATTAATTCTAGATGATTTGTGTTCCCCATCATATTTTGTCTTAGTATTCATCTTATAATAAAAAAACGACAGACAATGATACCGATAAACTAATGTTGCTTCAAGTATATTAAGTGACCAGTTTAATTTTGCAACATCGTTTTGAATATCGATACAATGAATATGTTTTTGATAGTTTACCTAACGTTATGGATAATAAATAATTATGTCTAGTACTTAATGCGAGGAGAATTTTGTCGGCTAATTTTAAATGTACATCAGGTGATCTGATAATGTGGAGAATATTTTGTTCAGTGTTAGTCACATGGTTGGAGGTAATCTGTAAAATGTTCTAAACTTACGTTTCATGCTAGTTGATACTCATCAAGAAAGTATATTTACAGTCTTTCAGGAGAGCAATACCTCTTGTGATGTTTGAGTTAGTGTTTCATTCAGAGATTGAGATAATTAGAACATACAAAACTCCACTATCTGTTTTAGGTAAAATATTGAGTGATGCATTAAAATCGGCTTTTATTAGGTCATATATAGACAACTGTTTGTATAAAGTTAAGTAAAGACCGATAACTACAAAATATTGGTATATACAGGTATTTAAAAAATTATTTCATATCAAATTAATGATATATATATTTTCAAAAACATACCATTTGATGAAGTATTTTGATCCAAGGTATTTCGTGATTCATTCTTAATTACTTGATAATCTGAATGATTTCTACTATCTCTTAGAGAGCAACTATCTTTAAGGGGTAAATCATCTTCGGAAATCTATTAATTAATATGATACAAAAATAAAAGTTAATGATTAATCAGATTGTCATGTGGTCGATAACGATAACCGAACAATCCATAATTTAGAAATGATAAATTGCATACTGATATTTGCATATTCGTGTGAATTAATTATATTTTAGGAATATAAGTAACAAAAGAAATCATTAATTGTCTTTAAATATCAATTTTCATAAGGTAGAAAGCCATATGTCAGTAGCTTTAAGTTCAATAAGAATTCTAGAACAAGATTAAGAGATTTAAAACCATGTCGCCAGTGAATTCAAAGCTTGTCTCCATAGTTTTACTTCAACTAGAAATCTACAACATTTTTTCACTAGAATACACCTACAGTCAGTATTCTCCAGAAAAAATTGTTGTATGCACTGTAATTAAGGATGAAAATATGTTACATAATTGTTGCCTCCCATATACAATAGAGTTGAATGCACTTGGAATGTTTATGGAAAAATGGAGTGATTAGTGTAAGTAATGAAGGATTTCAACAAATCTCTTTAGCTATATAAGTTAAAAGCATATGAAATTACATCACTATCAGTTCTCCAAATGATTCTCAAAGCTGTAACCTTTATACAGACGAAATGCAATTCTTTTTAAAACTTATTTTCTTAGGACTATGACAGATTAATAATAATTTATTTAGGAACCAAGGACAAAATGATATTTGTATTTTTAACTTAACGTACATGCTTATTTCAATGATCATTTATATGCTAATACACTAAACTGTTAACCAATATTTTGTATTTAGTATCATTGACAGGCTGTAGGCAGTCAATGAAAATCAGGAAACATTGGGCAGTTGTTTCACTCTGGTATGGGACTACTCAAATGTGCGTACTCACAAACTTCACAGGGATCAAACTCAGTACTTTCAGGGCTCTAAGTGAGCCATTAACCTCCAGACAATCAATTCAGGATCCAAAACCTCACGTTTTTGTGTTCGGACAACTTGTCATATTGCGTGACCATTAACCGTTGCTAACGGTAGGCAATTGTTTCACTCTTAACGTTGTTAAACTTCATTGATATGGGTCTATCACTAGGACTCCGAGAGTTTGGCTTAGAAATGAAACACTGGTGGCTAAATGGTTATTACTAGTATAGAGTGTTTCGTAAGGATTGTCGAATCATATCGTTTATATCACGGACTTACTGTAGCTAGACAAACACTCAGAATCAGGAACCACCAAGCAGCTATTTTTTAAGCTTACGGGCTCAAGATAAATAACACTAAAAACCATATGGTATTAATGGACTTAAAATGAATGTATACAAAACTACTAATAAGAAGACATTAAAAAAAAATCACTGAAATATATACTGTTTTATCATACGTGAGTTTCGAAAACATCTACGATTAAGAAAATCAATAACAAAAGCTGATTCCGCTCTTTAGTGCTAGCTTGTTGAAGCCATTCATGATAAAGTGAATCGGGAATATATTTAAGAATCCAAACATTAATTAACAATAATCGTTTCATTGTACTATATTTCATAGGTTTAGTAGAATCCAATTGGGTATTCAATATAAGGTTCACATCTGAATCTTCATTAGGTAGTGGAGAACGAAGTTTTTCAGGTTCTTTAGTATTCGAATTCCCGACCGATACAGATTCCAAGAATTTAGTAGGTTTTGCATATCGCCTTATCTAAAAGTTTATTCATGATAAGATTACGAAAGAATATTTTAGTATGAATGAAAGGACGGTTTAATTGTAATTTATTAATAAATATTGAAGAAATGCGTAACAGAAATATAGTTAATAGTATTTGTCGAAGTGCATCCAAGCGTAACCGTACATAGTCTTTATAACATCTTGATTAGACAAGTTGGCAGCTTTTACAGGGTAAATAAGACGCACGACTTTGGAATTTAAAATCGGCAACGACCAAAGTTATTATCAACAAATAAGTTCAATGAATTATCTTTTATATTCAGTCAACCATCACTGATCCTCTCAAAGAAAGCCATAGTTCAATTCATCAAACAAGTTATTAGTGCGGGGTAAAACTAAGTGATAAACATGCTACATAATAAAGTGACCATAATAAACGAATGTCACACATTGAGTTTCGAAAACAATGATTCATTTAGAAGTGCGTTTTGACATGCCAATCATACTTATTTGGTAGAATATTCATCAGAAATTTAATCATTTGACAGTAGTTTGTTGAAAGAATCTCCAGACAATAAACATAACAAATAATACTATTAACAAGCGTCATATATGAACTTGAAGCTGAATCCGGAATTGTGTAAAATTAATCTTTGAGTAAAAATGATTGCAAATTGATGATTTATCGTTTTTCGGCTTAGAAAGTTAGCTACTTACGAGTAGTAAAGTGTTGTATGAAAAAATATAGTAAGAGGAACTGAGTAGAAATGCAGCTTGAGTTAAATATTACTCCATTAGCTACTCAGATATAGATTTTTTCAAAACAAATTTACATTTGTTAACTTAAAATGACTTGGTAGACAAAACTAAAATATAGTACTAAGTACTGAATTATTTCCTTATATTTTTTACACCATTAGAGAGGCGATGAATGTTGTTTAGTTTCTGAAAAAGGATACAAAATTCACGACTGAATTTAAAAAGAAGCTTGAATCATGGAAAAGTATTAACGATTAAGATTTTACTTCAACTTAAATCGTCACTAATTTATCGATAAATGTGTACTCTGAAAAACTATATCCAAGATTGTTCAGTTACTAAATAGAGCATATTAGAATGATTCTGCTTTCCATTCACATGGTAAAAACTTGAACATCACAAGAGATTTAGAGGTGTTTGATTTCTGAGGTATTTATTTACCAGCTCAAAGAACACTATCATAAAATACTTTCTAATTGTAAAGAGTAACTGTAATTAAGATGATTTTGTGGGGAAGTTACATTAATTGAACTATCATGAAATGTGTACGAATATCCTTAGAGGACAAACAAAATGTAAAAGAACGAAATTATAGACGATATGCAAGTGATACATAAATTCATGCCTTTGGAGAATAGGAATCATAATCTGAAAACGTATATGGTAGTAATCAAAATAATAAAAGACTATCTGAACACTGAGTGATATAATTAGGAAGTGGGTTGAAAATGGATTTAGAATTACACATAGAAAATACTCGAACGAGCAAGATAATCAGTCGATAAACATACCCGTCTCATTCTTCCGGAAGCTCGAACTGTTGAACAAGAATCATTCGATGAATTAGGAACCACTTTATCTGCTGTTGTGGCATATGTAAATTGTTGTTTAGGTTTGAGAAATTCAGTCTCAGCAGAACGATTTGATCGAAATTGGTTTAAACGCCATGTTTTAACAAGACATGGCAAAGAATCACACGTAATATTAAGTATTGAGGCATAAAAGTAAGTGAGCTGAGATAGGTTAGAAATCGATTGAGATGAAGAATCTTTTTCTGATGTCTCTTTTTCTAAATCCAATTCATTATTTAATAGAATATTCCAAAGAACATCAACTCCACGTCTTTGCAGGTCAGAGTTCCTGTTAAAAGGGAAAACATAAGAGAAGAATCTAAACAGTCAGTTAATTTACAAGTTCAAAGTTAAATATTTACCTAATGCTTGAGATATAAACTTTATAGGTTGATAAAATATACAAAAAACGATGCAACAAACTAGCCCTACTTTGCGATAATTTGAATAAGTTTTTTTAATTAAGTGATTTAATAAATTATTTTGATTACCATAATAGAATTGAAGGAGTAAAAGGAAATTGAAAATAAAGTTCCGAATATTCTAAGATAATGAAACTAAGACCATCAAAATTATGAGGAATGAAATAAATTCACTAGCATATCAACAAATAATGTCAAGATGAAAAACTTATTTGAATACAGTCATTTATAGATGGTATAGATATGAATATACTACTTGTTATTCATTTATTACTTTGAGTTGTGAAGAACAAAATTACCAATATAAAAGTAGAAATGAAAATTTTGGACACGTAACTGTTTTATTATTGTTTTTTCAATAAAATACACCAATAATCATAATATTCTATTCGTTTACGCTTTTAAACGGTAATTAGACTGGGAAAGATTTAGCAAGTTTAGCGCCCACATATTCACGTTTAGTAGATAATTCGTAAAAGATAAAACTGATCTAACTAAATGAGTTTATGGAATATTCCGCATTTTCCTGATGAATTTATTTTCTTGATTAATAAAATTTTCATGATATACGGTTGATGAAAACTAATACAATCAACAACTGAGTACCAAAAAAATACCGGTACTTTGTATCGCTGACTGAATTTACCCAGACATCCATTAGAAATCGAGATGTTATGAACAGCTGTTTAGTCCTAATACGGAACTCCTGATAGATTAACACTAATGACCACACCAGGGATTGAACCAAAATACTTTGGGCTTAGATGTGAACATGTTAACGTTAGGTCAATACAGTGAGGCCTAATTATCAACATTTCTAAATGCAAACAATTCACCATACACTATACCAATAGTTCATTGAGTACAGTTTTGAAGCGCCCTACACTAGAACGAAACTCCTAAACAGTGTCCCTTGATTCTTAAGCTAACTTTGGTCAGTGATGTAAAATGTAAACAGAACAAACCCTCTATGCTAAAATATCAGAATAGTTTCCAAGATATTAATGTAGAAATGTTATTTTTCTATATGATACCTCATTGTACTTTGGGCTGTAGTTTTTTTTATCTAAGTACATTTTCTGATTTCAGGCTTACTAGAATCAAGTGAATGAAAACTATTGATCCCTTATTTATTCTGATATTTCTCAAGTGATTATTTAAGGTGAATAAAGCCACTCTTATTTCGTATACAAATAGAGTCTTATGAGCAAATTTCAATTATTCAATTTAGAAGGGTTTAGGTGAAAATTTTTTTTAATAAGAAAAACGAAAACTTGTCGAACTGTAACTTACTCAGATCTTAAAGCTGTGATCAATTCACAAATAACTAGTGAAATAAGAAAATGTCTATTGAAGACATTCATATTATTTATGTTTAAACTTTTTGCATGATAATCATCAGTGTGACAATGATGATGATTATCTTCAGTTCCATAGAATTCTGGTTCAATAGTAGCTAATGGAATATAATTTGACTTTATATAAGGCTTTGTTTGATGATTATTTTTGCATAAGGATAATTGCTTATAACTTTGAAGTAATCGTTCACAATTCACTGGTAATAAATTATTGAAATTAACATTGTCATTATTACAATCATTCAACAGGTAAAATGCTTTATGTGAACAAATTATTTGTAATAAATCTAATTTGAAATAATTTAATAATTTATCACTTGAAATTTGATTTAATTCTGCATCCGAGAGTAGTTGATCAATCTGCATTGGTGATAAACATAAAGGCAAATATACATTATTAGTATAGGGTTGTGGAGATTGTTGAGTTTTGATTTATATCATGAATCGATCAATATTAGACCACCATTGAAAACCTGTAAGCACAGAACGGCCGTTTTGTCATAGTACGGAACTCCTCAACAGTGCTCACCCACGATTTCGTACGCGAGACCGAAGGTTCCGGTTCTTGGTGACCTTGTTACCTATCATTACAAGAAGGATGACACTAACTTGGGAAAAACAATTAGGGGAGATAGGTAAGTGTTACACTTTGCAACATAAACCTATGATATATGAACACAAATGATTGATAAGAGTGCAAGATTTGATATTGTACGACGTTAAGAAGATGGAAAGACAAGTAGATAGTAGTAAATTACGTTAAATATACCAAGATGACAACGAAAGTAACTTAATGAGATGGAGAGACATGTGTTCTTAGTGACGCTTTTATCGCATGATCAATATCAAATTACAGAATTCTTCACATACTTCTAATAATCTGATAACAGTTTAAATAAAGCACCTACACATCTGAAAGTTGTTCTGACAACATTCAAATAAGAATAGCAACAGAAAATAAAATTTGTGAAATTTTGAACCTTTCAACAACACAACAAATTGCTAACATGGACTACAACTGTTTCAACCCTACCATAATTAACGATTCACTTGTACACATATTATTATTACTATTATTATTATTATTATTAGTAGTAGTAGTACTATTATTATTGTGTTTTGGATTATTTTCAATCCACTTCAAGTATGAACTGAAAAGTGCATAAATTGTAGAAAATTCTATTTGCTAAGTTTAAGGCAATAGTAATTATAATTTATTACCAAACACAAAAAAATATTTAATCATTTATCAATAAACTTCAAATGAATTCCAGACCCACTCACTTTATTCCAATAATTTTTTATTTCAGAAAAAATATACTCGATAGGTAGAAATGAGAAAAGATCGTAAAGGAAAAATGAGAATATTTGATTGCTTAGTCGATGCGATTCCCACTGAGTTGAATCTGCTAAAACAAAAATAAAATGGTAAAAAGAAATAGAATTTGTTAACAATTCAAAAATTTGTGTATTAGGTCTTAGTTTATGTAATTGACCATGAAGTAACATATTCTGTTGCCTGAGAAGTAGTGATAATACCGATTTGTCTAAACCGAGTTAAATGGAATGGAGTTTCGGCTTGTAATTTAATGGTTGAAAGTAGAGCACTTTGATGCTTTTCCAATTCTATAAATTAACCTCAGTCTACCCTTAGATAACGATATCAAATGGATGGTAAGTATCGTCTATTATAAATAAACGGCTAAATAAATAACAATGTGATGTCTAAAACGATGTTTGTTAGTTAAAATCATTTTCAAAACACCGCATATTTATCAGATAGTTTTTAAATGAGATTAAACGTCTTCATATAGACCACTCTACAGAATATTTAAGAGAATCGACTTCTAAAAGAAGCAATTCATAGTGATAGTGTATTATTAAACTTACCATCCGAAATTTTAGTATATTGACTACAAACATATCGAATCATATATTCTGTTAGGCATGTATTAAATGAACTTAAATCTTCCAAAAAACAAGGGTTTTCATATAGTGGTAAAATGATGTTCGGTTCATTAGCTTCTATTGTCAAGTGCCAATCTTGTGCTAATAAATGAATCTGAAATTAACAGATAATAAGTAATGTTTATTTTACATAAAAATAAAGTATAGAAAATATAAATTACATTATTCAGAAGCTTATTCATATATCTACTTGACTGAGAAAATTGACACCTCATAGAAAAACAAATCAATTTGGTAGATTATGGAATATACTTTTAAGGACAGTAGGTTTTACAAGGTCAACCATTCCTTTTCCAGAGATCATCAAAAGTTTTTAAATAAATTAATTTATAGCTTTATCATCGAAGTGTTTGTATCATAAATTGCGTATATGAACTAACAGCATAGGTGAAAAATAATTTACACTATATCCTAATTGTATTTTTCACTTTATCGATCAACTCTATTCAGATGGAAAGCATCCTGAAACAGAATACTATACACTAGTAAACTATACATCCAAACACTTACATTTATATTTACCGCTTCTTTTAATCAATTCGAACGAGGAGAAGAACACACATGTAAAGACAAAATAAATCGAAAACAAGTGTGTAATAATCACCCAATCGGGAATCAAACACAGCATTCCATAATTGAAATGAATTTTTTGAAGAAAACGTTAGTTATTGGTTGAGATTTGTAATTCAACTGAACTAGTTATCAAAATATTAAATCAATGGTACAACTAATTGTTAATATAATAGTTTGTGGACATTTAACTGATTTAGGTTTAGCCTCATTGTGAAACAGCGAAGTGGGTAAATTTTGCAGATAGAGAAATTATGAAATATTTGTTTTGTTATAGTTTAAGATTTCTTGGTAAGGTTAAGTTATAACCTTTAAAGCGTTTTATTTTGGAGTTACTGAATTTAAATACAACGATGACTTTTTCCAAGTCTAATTGCAAGATACAGTGTGATTATTATCTAACATCATTAGTCGAATTGTAATACATAACTTAAGAACAGAATACAAGTACATGAGACTAAGAACAAAACGTACCAGGTGCAAGACGAGGATACTACTTGATAATTCAAACCAAAAAGGTAAAACAGATTATAGACATGTGGCTAATCGACTAAAGATCTGATGCTTAAAACCCAAAGGACTAAAAAACTGAATCATTATTCAATAAAAGTGGTTTTAAGAACCGCTACGGTCTGATAACAAATGAAAGAAATATCGACAATAGACGCTATTATGCACTAATCTAAGATATATTAGTGAACTGTTATATAGTCCAGCTGACATGTACAATGACAATAGGGGACGTTTTACAACATAAATCCACTCTAATTAGTATGTCTGTAATGAATAAGGGAATTTATAACTAGATTAACAAGCTTTATATCAGTCATAGAGATGCAGAAAAATAACAAATGCGCAATGCTAAAACAGCTTCACGAACATCTTTGTGACAATTTAATGATGCATACTTGATCTTAAAGTTTTATTTTATTTTATTTGAACACATAAATATTGGTACAAGATGGCACCAAATATATATGCGCCACACCACATTTGTGTGTGTGTGGGCTGATACTGCCGGAAGCCCAGACCGAAGCAGATGGTTTTCTTAGGAGGCCACACCCCGAGCCTTTGACCTAAAGGTCTAATCCACAAGGCAGTTGAGCATCGTGAGGCGATGTAGTCTCATGGTAGCCGGTGGCCAAAAATTGGTTCATACGCCATTTGTTCCCGCAGGATACTGAAGCTCATGTGCACCATTGGTTTGGGATCCGGTTAAAGCGCCGGACATTCGCTTTTCGTCCTCTCATTTTCGTAAACAACACCCCCGCCACGAGAAGGCAGTGAGTAGGACTTCCCTGGTAGAGACTGTGTACGCGTGGCCGTGTGAGAGCATTTCGAGTGGGAGGGAGGGCGCACCCCACTCTCGGCCATACCAGGGCATTTGGGGGCCTGATCTGATCTTACAACCACCTCAATGAACTCTTCTAATGAGTAAAAAAAGATACACAGTGGACAAAGATAGGTTAATTTTTTTATAACCAATGTTTGTTAAAAAATTACGTTTTCAAGCAGATAACTGAGTTACAATGAATAGTAATTTAACCAACTTAATGAAATAAAAATGTAAAATGTTTTTACATCGTTTTAGATGCAGTTAGATATATAACAAAATGAGCAAACCTAGTTACTTATAGTTTGCACAAAATGTATCGCTGCCAATATTACGATAATTATTTGAATTTCAAAAAATAGAATTTTATTATACAAAATTATTTTGAGAAAATTCTAAAACAAAAATGAATGTTTACAACCCTAATTCATGAAAAGTCAAAAGAAAAATAATCCGATAAATTCTATTTGATCCGACATGGTTACCTTAACCAATTAACCAATGAAAAAACACATTCAATATGACTTACAAATAATTCCAAAAGAAACCATAATGAAGGGAAAAAAGTTTGACTACTTTGAGAATCATTGAGTTTAGTTCTGAATAGATAGATTTTTATAAGTTCAGTTAAAGTGATCTGTTAACAAAATGAAAAAAAATAATTAAATTTATTTAAAACTGAGAAATTTAATAATAACAGTCATGAACAAATAGATGTGAAAAATAAAACTTCTAGTTGATGACTAAAGTCAGAAATGTTATGTTCAAATGGTTTAATCTTGGTAGTATTAAATCTTTGTCATACTGTTGTTTTATTATTTAGTCTTTTGAATTATCAGAATACGAATGGCTGACATTTGGCTCAATTCTCTTTTTAATAAGAACGAAATGACAGTTCAATATTCGGTCTACTAATGCACCGCTACTACTACTACTTCTGTGGTGAATACTACTTGCGCTGACAGATATAAGTGGTATTTACGAGCAATCTGCAAGCATAAAATTATATTGAAGAGAACAGGAAGGAGGACAGAGAGCAATAAGAATAAATACAGAATTGGAAGAATCATGAAGTATGTAAAGGACAATCGAAGGAAAATGTGTAAATGATGTATTCAATATATGATTTTCGCATTTTACCAGGGTGCTGTGTAATTTTGCATAAAATAATGAATTTGCGTTGCCCACTAAGCGTTCGTTCACTACACTACTTCAGATAGTCGTGCAAATGTGTTGTGCAACTCAGCTACATAATAAATTCATAAGAAATCAGTAAATTTCATCGGTCAACCTTCATTTTAGACAATTCCTGAAGAGTCAACTTATAAAGTATGAAAGAAGTAAGTCAGTAAAAGTGTTAAACCATTTACACTTTACATAGTTCACTTTCAAGTCCTAATGTAGAATAACCAGTCAGTGGTATATTGATTCTAAGAGACATTTAGATTGTATGTATTACTAATCACTTTATATTCTTTGAAACAGAAGGATATATTCATTATCTTCAATAAATATATTTTTCCGAAATAGTTATTGCTATTAAAAATATTCAGAGATCAGTTTACATAGTCCCAAATGATTTTTACACTAAGCTACAGGGAACAATGGCATTAAGGTGTAAGTTCAAATCCCTTTTATTAAGAAAAGAGGCTTACAAAGAAAAAATCAATCATAAGTTGATTAACATATATATGAGATGAAATTACTGTAAAGTTTAAAGCACAATATTTGAAGTGTGTACAATGTTATAGTAAAGATCATCTGTAGAATATAGGTATTAATTTCCCTGGAAAAGGTTTAATGAGAAAAATGAAGAATATTTCAGTTGTTAAAATGCTGTCAATCATCCGGGAACTGGAGTATAAAACAATGTTGAAAGAAAGAGTAAAAGCAGTAACAATAATAATCTGAGATTTTTATACCATTTTTACATACATATATTTTTACCTTAAAATATTTAAAATCACTAATACTACTATTGTTACCGAACATCTAACAAAACAGGAATTTTAGTGATACGTTATTTGAGTTAAAATGGTTTAGTTGAAGAAACTTTCATTATCATTTCGTAGAGAATAATAGGGTCCCAAATTAAGTGAAAATTTTGATAATTATTAATGGAGGGCTAAGTCAACCCGTTCTGATGACTTGGTGATTGATTGTTATTATGTCATTCGTACAAGATTTTGTTTTCAATTGTTCACTGAACATGTGACTGATCGATATTTCCTGTACAAAGATATGAATAAAATCTAAAGCCAATATGTATTGCTAGTAAAATGACTAGTGTCACAATGCCAAACAATAGAACACAGATAAAAACATCCAACTGAGCTCTAAATCTCATTAATGGCATTTTTGACCCTATCACTACTTAAATTCTTAAAATTTACATTTTTACAGACAAGTAGATTAAAATTCAGTCCAAAAAATGTATCAATCAAAAAAATTATTGTTGATCTATGAATTGCAACTAAAAGATCTGTGATAGATATATGGTTTAGTTAGGGATTAATCAATAAAATTACAATCAGTTTGAGTGTTCTTGATTATTAGAAAAATATCCCATTAGACAATACTTTTCCCAAGTAATTGAATGAATATATATTGCAAATTATACCTTCATCTGTTAATATGCATATCATACACTGTAATGGATTAATGCTTCAGTGAAATGCTAATAAACGTCCTATACAACTTCATTTAATTAGTTTTTATATACACACTTAAGTTGAAGCATCGCAAAAAATGGGAGATTGATCAAAACAGATTATTGAATTTCTACAGAGGATTACCAATAAAAACATTTTTTTAGGGAATCGTAAACGTGAATTTTTCGCATTTCTGAATAAACGAAAGTGTTAAGCTAGTGATCTTTGGCAATTACTGCTTAAATCTCTGTGAGGAGTGATACATTATACAAGTCATTAGAAAGCTGATATGAATACGATACCAATAATTCTAAAGATTTACACAGAGCTTAACTGGAAAGCGAAAAATGGAAGCCTAGTGAACTGTTGTTTTTTGTCCTTAAAAAAAACGAAAAATATTATCGCCATGGAAAAGTGACTAGTTTTTGATCGGCAAACAAGTGTTTTGTTTTTATTGTGTAATCAAGATTTGCATCACTGAATTCATTAATATAGATTATTGATTTTAAGGTATCGTTAACCTTTCCTTTGTTTTACGAGGATAATGACAAATAGTTAAAATTACTAATTTATATATATATATTAAGGAAAAAAAATAAGATATACATTAGCTAAAAGGCTTTTATCGATCTGTTCAGGATTTACCAAATCCGAAACTATCGGTACTCCAAATAACGGATGCCCAGAGAAGTAATGACCTAAAACTAAAAAAAGAACACAAGGGAAAACTAAATAAAACTAGTTTTAATGAAATATTTCATTAGTGGTTTCCAAATGATTATCATTTTTAGAAATTATAATAATTCAATATTAAACTGTGTAGTATCTTCAGTGTAATGACTCAGAGAACATGTAGGAGAATGTATATTAGTTAGTAAACTAAACTTTTGGTTATTCTATTCTCAAAAACATGTTTTAAAAAGCGATTTATTTATGTTTTCTTCATTAATTGTAAGTGAAATGATCAATATTTAATTTAACTATAGAAATCCTGTAACATTGATTAGATTGACCATCTTCAACAAACAAAAATATGTAAGTATTACTTTAATTACTTATTATTTCACAAACTTAACATGATATTTACCCAATTAACTAACCTGTTTCAATAGTTAAAAAGTGTGGGCCAGTTAAATATGAAACTAGAAGTTGGTTTCGTCCATGTCTATCATTTAAATGAGGAAAACTTCGTGTAATACGATTCAAAAATACAATGAGCAGTTCTAACGCGATTAGACTAGGTCTATTCATTTCCATACTACTATCATTATTATTCGATTTGGTACCATTCATTTTGATTGAAATTGTACTTATTATGCAATTAAATAACAATCGAAGAAAGCCATCGAGGAGTGGTACGAAAAATGCAGTTAACTGATGAAGACTTGTTTTATGAATATATGAGAATAGTTGACTGAAATGTTAAGTATTGTAGAGAAAAAGACAATTCACTTTAACCATGAAAAATGATTGAGTGTAAGCAAATTAATTCTACATAGAAATTTAGTTATATTTAATAAGGGAGTAATACGTTAAATTTATGAGTAGTGTCTAATGCCATATTAGTCCTTCAAAGATCCTGAAATTCTGTTGATCAGGTCGGGATAAAGATCACTAGTTCGGGTGACTCAACATAGCGTGCTGTTTCTCAAGATGTTTGGTGGCTGAAGGTAGTTGGGAGGAGACCATGAATCTAGGCTTTGTGCTAGTAACTGAGATAGTGAGGGGACTGATGTTCCCACGTCACTTACCTTCGGAGTGTGAGATTTTATCACTGAGATATTCTGACAGAGATTAGTTTCCGATCACCTGAAATAATTTCGCCTTCGTTCGTATGTGATTAATCATAAACATTTTCTTCAGTGAGCTAAATAACCCATGGGTGTTTACGAATATATGTTAAATCATAACCTATCTGTGTAGACGTTTTAACAATTTCAATTCAGAATTTGCTACCGCGATTAGTTGAGATAGTTGAATATAAAGAAGACAGTAGTATTCATAAACTAAGAAACTTTAAATACATGAATGAACTGATTACTTTGACCTTTAAATAACATCTCCAAACCCTAATCTTCCCGATTACTGCTTATACTCTTACTACCTCTACCACTACGGGATTTGAATCGACAACTGCATCCCTGTGCTAATGTGGTATGGCAACTCGAACTGATGTACGTACGTACGAAGTTCTACGTTGTTACTGACTGACTGACTGATTACTTTGACATGCACAAAGAATTTTAACAGTAGAGAAGACACAGTACGTCATGAAAAAGCTTCAAAGTAAGACAATGATTCTACGCCGTTTTATTATTGATGGCAGTATTTCTGACACCTACTGTTAATACTTATCCAAAGTCACAGAAATTCATTCGTTTTAAACTAAAGTACAAAACGATCTACAATAGAATTTAAGAAATATAAACACTTTTCTGTATTAAACTGTACATAAGTCATACTGATTGTTTGTTAGGATCATTATTATTATTACATTGAAGTAGAATAAAGTATGTTTGAATAAATATGCTTAAAAATGCGCTCCCGGGAAACTTACGGTCAGCTAGGGGACTGACTCTATAATAACACTCAGATTAGCTGTGCGATCGGTGAAGCCACGAAAAAGAACAATCAGTGATCTTTGGAAAAATAACTACTTTTTACTTTAGACTAATACAAATAACAATAGTTACGATCAAGTATATCAAATTACTCTGAAGAAGTGGCTTATACTAAGTTGTGAAACATTGGAAATTTAATTTTCCAATCGTTGAGATATTACAAAAATATCATTACATTTTTTATTAATTAAAATCAAAGGTGAATAGGTTACCGAACAGCAGATCGATTAGCAAAACTTTCAATGGTAGAATTGATTCGATTTATATGACAAGCCGATAAAAGACATTCTAATGAAGCATCTTGCATGTAAACGCTAGAAACAACAGTTGTAGAAACACTGAATAGTTCACGATGAGCATCAACCCATTTGCAAGCATCCACACAAAACTAAGGGACAAATAAAACGGTGATCAAAAGAGTATGAAGTGTAAGTTTCAATTTCATTGAAAAGTGTAACCTAATATATATATATATATATATATATATATATATATATATATATATATATATGCATTCCTATGAAATAGGTTAAAATAGTTAGAAAACAATGAACTTGCTGAATGATTTTTGTACTAAATGATTAAAACAGGCTAGAATGTGTCCTGTACAAACTTATATTTCAGTTATTAAGTATTCAGTCACTTTTGGATTAAATTTCAGTAAATATAGGGGGTTAAAAACCTTTAATTCACACGATAGCTAAAAATAAATTTAGGTGAAGTAGAATTAAGGTCCAGTGATTTCCAATGGTTAGAGATTGAGAGCTTGAGGTCTAGACCTGAGTTTCGTAGAAGTCCATAGTTGGTTCCAAATCTTTCACTAGTTTATACTTTTATTCAACTATGTTCACAACAATAGGTGTGACAACAAAGTCTTGTAATGGCAGCAGACCACGCAGCTTGTATATGTTTGCACTAGTTTATTTTAGTGAATAATTAGTAACTTTACCCATGTATCACTTTTATAAACACGTGACTGCCTGAGCGTATGTATAACACTATAATACCTAGGTATACAAAAATAAGATAATAATTTCTACATTGATTTGTCTATCAAGTCAAATACACATACTACATCACTGAGCATTACGTCAGTCAGTTCGCTGCAGTATACGATTCTTACGTTTTACAAATCCTATACTCTATGCATGTGAACTGCTGTGTCATTATGTATGAAATATATCCATTTCCTAAAATATTTCGTATTCCAGCTATTTGCATCACATCGTTATATGAATCTAGTTACACAATTGGATAAGTTTATAAATTATACGAAGTTAACTCGGGATGTAAAATCAATTGGACTAAGAAGAACTCGCAAAACAACATTTATACTTTTTAACGAGTTCTATGAAATCAATATAATTGGCAGTACATAAAAAAACACAAGGCTTAATGTATTTAGAAGAATGACGAAACAACTGAAAGCTTAGTTGACTGTTTTTCATTGTTTCAGAATCTTTTTCCTATTCTAAATGAATTATTTTTTTCAACATGTAGATGAGGAAAGTAAAGCATGGTTTTTACATCGATGATAAGAGTGCGTCACTTACTGGCTAACAAACTACCAGGGCTGATAAAACTCCAAAGATAATAAAATTAATCAATTACTCCAAGCGCAATACGATAAGACTATTCATTGATGTGGAAAAGTTTAAAATTAACATTTTGTGTTTTAGAAGAAGAAAAAACGAAGTAATGTAAACAGTTTACACTATATGTTTACTAAATCACAATATGGGAATTTTCCAAATTTACTAAAATGTTTATCCTTTCAATCTGATTTGAAAATGTCATATGTTGTTGACTAACAAAGCTTTGTATTAAAATTCAGTACATATAAGCACACTTGCCTAATTATAAATTAAACCGACCAAGATGTTACGGAGATATATAGTTTTGTGAAATGGTTTTTGATATGGATCAATACATAGTACCTATTGGATTTTACTAAAATGTTACAAAAATGATATTCTATGAAATTCGGTGATTAAATAAAGTTTAATGTTACATTTATATCACTATGTAAATCTACTGATAAACTATCGCCATAGTATAAATATAAACGTCGACTACATCTACCAAAGCCGTATCGTATGAATAAGCCGTTCAAGACGTTTGCCAGTTGTTTCTTATAATGAAGTTGCAGTTCTTTACGTTTATAAGAGTTCTATAATTTGACTAAACACGAAGGTTATAAAAATTTGGATGAACATTGTTGAGGGGCTGAAACCAGGGAAATAACAAATGTTCAGTGCTTCTAGGTTTTTACTGGCCTTTCGATTATGGAAAAAACGTTTACAAATTGGTGATTGCCCTAATATCAAAATACATGGGTAGAGACTAGAATTTTCAGGCTTTAAATTACAAACTGATGCTAGACAGACGACCATTTTAAACCAGAATTTACTGCGAAGATGTTTTATCCTCTTACGGGACTCTTTATCAAAGCGCATCCACAACCCCACTACAGTGAACTAACCTGAGACATTTGATTTAAAACGCGAACGCTTAGGTTCTTGACCACTGAGACTGAAGGTTTTTGGTTTGAGGCTTTGCGATAGGGTCGTGGATCTACTCTGATGAAGAGTTATGAACCAGGATGAAAAAGCTCTTAATGTTGATCAAGTTAAGATTAGTTCGTGATTCAAACTACGATATCTTGTCATGTTAACACTACATAACTTATATTGCTGTTCAGATAAATAACAAGAGTATGACACACAGTTTATTGAAAATGCATTGATTGTTCCTGCAAGCAGAACAAAGTAAAAAATTAATATACATGATTACCTTTTCTGAGATCGATTTTATGTCCGGCTTAATCATTGCCAAAGCTGGGGATGGTTTTTCTACACTGACTAACAAATTCAGATCACGATCTTTTAAACATCCTTGTTCTAATAAAGGTAGCCACTAAATTAAAATAAAACAATAGAACACTGTTGGTTATACAGTCAAGTTTACCATGAATCTACAGCTAAACGGCCTTTCAGGTAACATAATACAGAAGAAATGGAACATATTAGTGAATTTGAGAATAAGTACGTTGACTGGTATTTCTTGAATAATCTACAAGTTATATGATTTTAGTTTTTACTACAAACCGGCATTAGTCGGAGGATCAATGTGAGGCAGAGATCACTAAACAACTGTTTTATTCCTAGTTTATAACTGCTAAACATGTGTAACGACGATCTAATGATCATGTCTAGCGATGAGGCTATTACTATCAGATCAATAATTTGGGATTCAACAGTATACATTTTAGAAACATAGACGATTGAATTCTGGCATAACACATTATAGGTATGGTGTCCTCCTTAGCAAATGAAGTGCCGAGATTGAACTTTGGGTTTGGTTTTACGTAAGTGCTATGAAAAAGTCACGAACTAGAAACAAACAACCATCTGGTGCTAATTCACTTTTATTGTCTTTTGACGCATATCTAGTTAGTCATGAACTTTCATATTGAATAGTTTTAAACAAATGAATATTACTTACAGAATAACCAATTACGGTTTCTAAAGACGCAGATGATTCAAGTTTTTTTGTTTGACAAATTACATGATAAAATGTAAATAACAGATAATGAGTTTCTTCCAATTTTCCAGGTAACTGAATTTTTATTTCATCGAAAAATTCTGGCGATCTAATAGTTTGGTAATAAAAACATAAATATAAAACAATTAGGTCTGTAACTAAAATGGACAAATCAAAACGGTTAAAACAAGCAGCGCTAGAAGGTCTGTAATTACGTAGCTATGTGGAGCTAGAAAATATGAAATTGAGCACTGAGATTTATTATTTTGTGATTTTGATGATTCAAACAAACAAGAAAGTCACTTAATATATGTAAGAATCTATTACGAAATGCATCAAATGATAACTGTTGTGCTAACCAATTTCCAATAATCACAAAACAATGTGAACGAGTTTTCGTAAAGTTGCAACTTATCTGTATCCTGACTAAGCATGTGGTAATTAAGTTAAAAAATGGTACACCCATAAGGTTTACTTTGACTTGATCGAAAAAACAGAGTTGCTTTTGTATGTTTAGCCTATTACTATAGATTTGGTGGGTTGGGATATTCGGTGTGTTTCCAAGTCAATGAAGTTGAAAAAGATTTGTTTAGATCACAATATAAACACTCTTGTCCTAATACTTTCGGACAGATTGACAAAATACTGCTTAATCAAATATAATAATGTGAAATCGATACAGGAGAACATTTTAGCTGTGTAGATATCCACTCGACAAAAGATGGTGGAAAAGATTTGTAGCTAAGGTGGATGATTTTAATGAATCTTAAACACTAGTAGGTGCAATATAATAGTGGTTATCATTAAAATTTCACTACTCAGATTTGATGAAATTATGCTTAAGCAATCGATAAACTCTAATCACAATGAATGAACTGTTTCTAGATTTATGCGCTTTCAGAATACGAATAATATTTATATCTAGTACCTGATTTAAAAAGCAGAGTTTAACACTGTTCCTAATAAGTTATGGGTGAGTTGAATTTTCATAATAATAATAATAATTATTATTAATATTAAAGAGGTTAAGTTTGTATATAAAATCTATTCAAAGTGGGAATTTGAAATCCATGTCAAAATTGCCAGCTGAGAATATTTTATTGAATTGAAGTTAGTATGATTTATTTTTGTATAGACCGATTCATTGCTTTACATCAGAAAAAAATTACATTGATTGATCATTTGGTGGTAACTCATATCATAATTGCCCATGTCTTTAGTTCGAGTTGTAATGTGGTTGCTAGTTTAGGTGACTCGGAAGGCGTTCTGATGTTACGTGGTTGTAAACAAGAAGAAAAAGCACATGAATGGTAACTAGCATAACACCTAAATACAGAGTATCCTCTCGAATCCTTCTAACAATTTAATATTTGTAGAAGCATAAATTGGACATTGCTGGATAACAAATAGCAAAAAAATTATTAGCAGCTAAAAATGAAGGCCATTACAGCTTAAAAACGATGTATTTACAAATCACTAGTTATCTCTACATATGTTTATGCTCTGAGTAGAATTTTAGTTCGTTGAAAAATGAGCTCGTAAATCAGAAATGTAGATAAATGGATTTCACAAAAAAGCTAGTTATAATTATGCTGAATACTATTTCGGATCATAGTATCTTGAAGGATTTTATAGATAAACTAAATTCTTGGAATAACAGATACTTATAACATTTCTCAGCATATGTATTCAACTGTACATGAAACCGATATTCTAGGCCAATCAGAAGAAGCAGACTCGGACAGCCACGCAACATAACAGAAACTTTACCTTTTTTATATTGAATTTAATTCATTCCGTCAAATATTATCTTCTCCTCGACAAAAGGCGTTATCATGGACTTCATTTAAAGCTTGGTTTGACTTGGCATGCGACGAAACTGTAGTTGAATTTTTCTCAAGATTAAGTGTTTTGTGTTCAGATTGCGTAAATTATTAAATAAATGTTGGCGAGACTATAGTTTATGAGTGAGCCAATCAGAGTTGGGATAATAAGTCTTGGATTTTGGGGCAAAATTCATTCATCCATTTGACCAAGTAGCGTCTTGGCATTTTAGCTGATATCAGTTCGTGATGAAAACCCTAAGCCTAATTCCTAACGCTATCTATTAGCAGTAAATTCTAATTCCTCATACTGGTTTATAACACTCATTTAACCTTAGTAAATAGATGGACATTCTCAAGGTCATATTAGCGTCGCTCAAAGTTTGTCCACAAATTTTGATCTTACTCAAATGATCTTACTAATCAAAAGAATGTAAGCTAATTGTTTATTTATTTATTTTAACACATAGATATTGGTACAAGGAGGCACCAAATACATATGCGCCACACAAATCTCATTCGATATGTGTGAGGGCTGTGATACTGCCCAGGTGCCCAAACCGAAGCCGGTGGTTTTCTTAGGGGGCTACACCCGGAGCCTTCGACCTGAAGGTCTGATCCACAAGGCAGTGGAGTATCGTAAGGAGATGCAGTCTCATGGTAGCCCGTGACTAACGATTAGTTCATACACCATTTGTTCCTTCAGGATACTGGAGCCCACGTGCACTATTGGTTCGGAATCAGGGTTTTCCAAATCCCCTAGGTGGACTCTCTATGTCCACCGACCCGGTTAAAGTGCCGGACATTCGCTTTTCGTCCTCTCAATTTCGTGAACAATATCCCCGCCACGAGAAGTCAATAGGTAGGACTTCCCTGGAAGAGGCTATATACGCGTGGCCATGTGAGAGCATTTCGAGGGGTCAGTTAATTGTTAGACAATAACAAATAACAGGATATTTGTTCGCCATGATAACAATTAGATAATTCGTGAAGATGATCATAACGTATACACGTACATATCACCGGTTAGTACATAAATGTTTTTTAGTATATAGATGTTTGATTAAATTGTAAGGTAGCCTGGTGAAAAGTTAGACAGGATTTTGAAACAAATTATGAGATAATCATTAACTAACTTTTAGAAAAGTTAAGTGGTAGAGATTGAAATTGATTACAGTGATATAGTCGTATTTATTTTACATCTTTATTAAAATGTTAAATTTAAATAAATTTTGTACTTTTTATTCAGTGCATTTCTTATGCTTAATCTCATACTGTCATTGATATATATCTGTGATCACATCAGGGTTTACTCGGATGCCAGTGTTGAAAATTTCAAAGAAAGTAATATGCATCTACATTAGCAAGAGCAGAAAACTTTATCTTGTGAGATTATTTCTTCTAAGCTTCTATTCGATGTGGCGAAAAGTAGAATATGATTTATTTACTTACCTATTATGATATAGAACTGTAGTAAACGCGTCGCTTATAAACCTAGGAGAATTGCTTTTGCCATATATAGCCTATGAGATAACAAAATCAATCAGACAAAAAAACTGGATAAATAAACAAAGTGTAGTAAAAAATAAACACCTATACATATATATGATAATTTTATAAGCCTGAGGATAGATATTATTTGTTCTGTGAACTGGACACCAATAAAAACCGATACAAGAATCTTTTCATTTTGCTTAGACCGACGGCTTAGGCAACAAAATTATATGTTATAATTGCTACGTCTAAGCGCTTAGCTTTTTGAAGAAGATTAAAGAGCTTTCAGTAAAACGTGTCTATTTGTTCATTCGAACTTTAGTCGATGAGAACATAAGAAGAGAGTTTACAATATCCAATCAAGAATGTAATGTAACTAATTAACAATGTACAAGTCGATATACATTGTAGCATACCTTTTATTGAGATTTTTAGTGATATCACGCTGTTATTTAAATTGAAAGACAGAAGCAAAGCGAGATTGAGATAATCCATTTGGTTGTAAGAAAGAAAAGTAATGTATATAATAATCAAAAATTGAATAACACCAAACCATGAATAATAATAGAAAAATGAACATTATTTGATTAGCGAGGCAACATATTTGTGTAAAAATGTGAAACTTAAGCTTCTAACATAATCATTTATTAGTAAAAGGAATCATTGGTTAAAATTTGCCAAGGACTTTTTTATAAAACCTTAGTTATCTACTAAATTTGAGGTTTTGCTGAGACAGTATATAGTGTAGACAGAGATTTTAAATACCGATGAAAAGACGAAGTTCATTCTGATAGGCTAGTTTATTTGAAGACCTCAAGCATTATCAAAGGTTTAAATTTCGATTTCGATTCCATAATGTTCATCTTGAGTTTTACTGCTAGCTACTAAAAACAAAACTCAGTAAGGACTGATAGAAAAGAATACTTGACAATACTGTCGAATACCTTCCAAAAAATAAAAGTCTTGGATATATATTGTAAACGATTAATTGATGATTTCAGTAATAAGTATTAGATAATACGGTATACTGAGATATCTAGTTGGTTTTACAAGGTCAACGTTTTCTCTCAAAAGTAAGTGTGACACAGAATCTGTACACACTTTCTTGAATGTTTCATGCATTAATTAAACAATTTAGTACACTAACAATAATATATTTACGTGACTTGTTTGAGGAAAAAACTATTTTAAGAAGTATAAACTTTTCAATATTTACGTGAAATTTAGTTGTATTAATGAAAGCAGTTATTGAAGTATTTGGTTACAAAGTACTAATAATGAATGAAATATTTTACTGCATCCCAATTGTAATACGCCATAAATACAAGAGCTGTGTTATTGACGATAAAAGTGAAGACTATAATTCTATTATTAATCTCCTTACATAAGCGTAAAATTAGTGATTATTAAAGTCTAATCTTTACTAAAAATATCGTTCATGAATATCAAGTTATATATATATATAAAAATCAGAGTACACTACAATGAAGAGTAAGAGAAAGATCAAGGTATTTATTCAACACAGTGAAAAAAATTCTGTCTAAAAATTATAACACCTCAATTTTATACTAATCTGAAATTCAGGGATACTCGTTGATTCACACAAAAGTATCTTTCAGTCGCATGCTTAGATTTGTTAAGCAGAAATTTCAGAGAAATTATTTTGAAAAATCACTTACCGGAAGTACTTTAGTTACAGTAGAGTCACTATACATTAATTGTACACGAACAGTAATATTTCGAGAAGAAGCCTGTTTTGAAGGAGGAAGACTAACACTTCGTGGATATACATATAAAAGGTTACTATGAACAGAAAAGATAATAAAAGATAAACATACGTAATAATGAAAGTATATATATCCATAAATACAAACAAATCATTAGGAATCTAGTCACAACACAACAAATGTTAATTTTAACCAACGCATTCACCCAAGATTTAAAATAAAATCAGATGTAGACTGATTGCAAATAAGTGGACTAATTAATAAATATAAGTTTATTAATGAAGCAATAATGTTTATCAAATATTATTACTAATATCCAGGTAGTAGTATGAACAAGTCAGCTGAGTAGTCTGTAATTGTATGGTACATTGATGCAAAGTTCAATCTTCAGGAAATTACGAGTACTTAGATGCTGGAAAGTGTAAACAAGAACTAATCAAAATGAACTCTGGTTTTTGGATATTTTGGCAGCTAACCACAGACACTAATCAACTTGATGAAATATACTCTAAGAATCTGTTAACTAACTATAGGTTAAATTGCATTTGTTAGGTCATGTAATGGGTAACCCAATGACTCCAATAAGCACTAAACTGAAATTTACAATTCTTAAGTATAATACGTTTAGTTTGATAATTGTTAACGAATAGTCACAGGATCGTTATACCGTACAAATTAAATTCCAGCCAGCTTCTTTGTTCTAAGTTTTCAGTTTAAAATTACACTTTACTGTAATCAGGGAATTAAAATACAATTTACTTGCATATCTGCTTATCGAATTATTTTACGAAAACTTACTAGAAAAAACGCACGACAACACACCAAAACAAACCTAGGACTGTTAGGTCATTCAATGGGAATACAGCAAGTCATACTTCAGTCTCACTAAATTTGTTATCAACACCAATTCTTGTCTAATTGGTTACTGACTTACTTTCGATTCGGCCAACTTCATAGATCACAGCTTTACATTGAAACTTTTAAAGGTCTATTTTGACGCTAGCCACTAATGAAAATATATTATCTACTTAAGTGTTACGCATAAAATTGTGTAGCTTTATGATAGTTTTCGACATGAAAAGAAAATAGCTGAAGAACCATGAGAAACCTGTAACAGCAAATAGTTGTTTTATTTTAGTCTAAGACTCCTCAGTGTACACGCACAACTCTACACATGATAATACTTATATCCAATTAGTTTCGTGAGATGCATGATATGGTATAGATTAGGAGAAAACAACTGAACAATGTACTTAAAATTAATCAAAACAACATTTTACATAAAATAATGTAGGTGCACATATTCACATGATACATAATTATCATTTCACTCTTGGTCAACATTTGAGTATGATGGAGAACAATAAGGTAGGTATCATGTGCATCTCACTACATCATGGTAATTCAAACAATTTAGATTTCATAACTTTGCTTATGTTTACAGCTTTGATGAATTTAATCTATTACATCAGTAAAGGTGTATTATGTTAGATTCAACAATGTGACTTAACTAATGTACAAAAAACAATAGATACAAAGATTTCACAATTCATACTAGTAGGTTCCTGGTTATTTTTTAAACGATGTAGTTGTCGAAATAAGTAGTATAGTCAGTAAACTGAAAGGTTTAAAGTTACTCCAAATAAGTGAACTCATTGTTACTGAAATCTTATTGCAAACGAAATATTAATTTAAGTTGTATTCTGATTATTTTTTAAAGAGTTTAAGTACGACGAAATACTTTTAGCCGATGAAGACCATTCGTTTTCTTGTCGTTAATAAGTTGTTTTACTTTGACTAACACATAGTATTTAAAGTTACTTCAATATCTTATATTCCATTATTTTTTTCCTCAGATAAATGAGACATCTATATATAGCTGATAACTTTTTGTACTAGTAAACCTCTTTAAACAATCAATGTTGAATAACTATTCTGTGAAATAAATGTAAGTATTATGTAACTACATAAAATGTAATTATTTTCAAAAAAATATAGAACTTCTATAGAATTCAATCATAATCCCAGGTAGCCATCAAAAGATCTTGTTTGTATCAAGTAAAATGGGAATATTCTAAATCCTTTTATTACAAACATTATGTCAAATATTTAATTATCTGTAATTTTCCTATAATCCAACTACAGAAGAGTATCTAAACATGTCATTTCAGACTATTTTCACCAGATAATAAAATTGCAAATAAGTTTCTTCTAAGCGTTTTTATGCTCAACAATATAACTTATGATGCTTTTCAAAAATATTTTTGACAGCCAGTGTTGTCAATATGACTTAATCAGTCAGTCTGACCAAGTTACACTACATATGAAAAAAAGATCTCAATACAAACATAAGCCTCAAAAAGACTAACATTATTTAATCCAGGCCTACAGACTGGAAGCTTTAGAACTCCCCCACAAATATGCAAACTATTCAATGATATCAAGATACCATTAAAATTCAGTTTCATACTTGATGCTATTTGACAATCTATTTTCTTTAAAGTTTAAACAAAGCATAGTTAGCCCCATATAGCGAACTCTCCAGCAAACATAACATTTTCAAATGACTATTATTTTTATGTTGATTAAACACAAAATTTGATGAAAAATTTACTTATCTATGTCTTAAAAAAATATCTGATGAATCATCTGTAAAACAGTGTATATTTTATGTTTTATATAGAGTCACAAAAAAACTCAATTCTCGCAAGCAACAATCGTTTAAGAAGTTAGAATAAGCACGAAAGAGTACTTAAATTAAATAAAACAATATTAAAACTGACCAAAATGATCTACTCGCCTGTAGAACAAATATATGGTGTATGTAATTACACACAATGTTACCAAAAATTATCTAAATTTATATGTAAATACATATGTACACAGATATATGCAAACAAACACATACAAGAGTACACCAATGTATAAAAAAATCTATGTCTATATGACAAATGTAGATCAAAATTATTTAGTCTAGAATTTTCTAATATAAACGAAGAAATAAAAATTTCTTAAAAGTTTATTAGACTTAAAAAGTTATTGTCCAAATATAAAAGTAATGAATAATGTAAAATATACAAAGATATAAACTCAATATTTTAATGAACATTTTCATAAATATCGTTTACAGAAAGTAGAAAGAAGAAGAATAATACAAAATTCACTTGGTATTGTTTTACTTGAACCTTCCCATTGATGTTTTAGGACTGAAATTGATCAGTCTCTTATTGGCATATGTGAAGATTTAAGTAAAACAATACCAAGTGAATTAAACTTCACCCCATTGCACAAGCAACTGGCTATCAGGACTCAGTAGCTAAGTGGATAACGCGATGGCGTTTCAGGCGAACGGTATTGAGTTCGAATCCCAGAGTAAACATCAACTCTGAGATGCAGGTACGTCCAGCTGACGGGTCCCAAAACAGGACGAAACGCGCGTCCTGAATTCCACTGCTAGCCACTATCCATCTTTGCTTATAATAATATAAAAGATATATTGCAGTAGATAGATAATCGCTAGCTTCACAAAATTTGCAATTAAAGATTCAGTTAGAAAAATCAAAGCATTTAAAAGGATTTAAACAAAATTTACAAATGAACTTGATGTATTTATCAAAGCAGTTGTCAAAGAAACTAAAAAAGAACAGTTTACATTTTTATTAAATTATATGGAAGAAACTTTAGATTAACATATGATTTAATAAATTATCAAAGCATTTGCATTAGATTAACAGATATTCAGTGTTTAAACTCATATTAGTTATTGATATTTATTGTTCATACACACGATTTCTGGGTGTTTGTTATTTATTGTATTGAAGTTATCAAATGATATTTAAAACTGAAGTTAGAGTTGCATAAAACTGTTAGATAAAAAACAGTGTTCTATTATAAACAAAGTAGATGGATATAGAGGGTGTTGGAAGTCAAATTGACCACAATCCCTTGATTTATAAAATTGAATATGACTTTACCTTGAGTACTAGACAGCAGTGAAATAAATCTCTCCTATGATTTTCAAATTAAACCAGTAAACAACCATGGTATATTTCTTTCTATCTAATTGTACCACATATTTTCGCAATATATGTAAAGTAAATATTTGGCTTAGAGTTACACTGTTTTATGCAAGGGTTGGTGATAGTATTAGGATTTTCAGAATGAATTGAGTCCAGTGCGGTTTTGACATATTAACCCTATGGTTAAATCCATCACTAATTATAAAATGTCATTAAAAGATTAATTAATGGAAATATTATGTGCTGGATGTTTATAATTCATTCTCCAACAATGAATAAGTGGAAATGCTGACGGTAAAGTCAATTTGCAAATAAATGAAACAATTTCCTTGTGTTCTCGCAAACAACAAAACAAATTTATAATCTACTCACTCACATACTATGAGTATTTAACAGGCAAATATTTAAAAAAAGTACACCTACCGATATGATGTAAATGGGACCATTAGATCTGGTGAAGGCAATTCAAGAACTTCACGAATCATATTTGGTATATGTTTAAACACTGTAGAGTTATTGTCACCTTTATTAACAGAAAAATCACTAAATGCTTGAAAAATAGAACCAATGTACGGAAGACATTCGGGATTGAGCAAAATGCTAGACTGACTATTTAATTCATCTTTTCTTTCTGAAATTGAATATCTTTCAATTTTTAGATTCGTTGACTTTAACAAATTGATAAGAGTTTGTGAAGTCGCCCAATGTAAACGTATATTTAATGATATATTAGAAATTGTTTTGAAACGTCTCACTGAACCGCTAGTAGGACTAAATGCAGATGAAAGATTTAATGAAAAGTTGGAAATATTTAAATTAGAATTCTCTGAATTATTACTGTTATTATTAGTAGCAACGTGATTGTTCATTAAAACACCATTTAATCCAGGACCAGGTGAAATGACATGTCGATGATTAAATAGTGTTTGACGATGAATTTCATTAACATGACGAAATAACTCATCGTCATTTATTCGATCTTTTTCCTTGAAAAATAAAAAAAAGTGGGGAAAATCATCCAAAAGCTCTACTTTGAGTTGATCATAAATCAAGTCATTTCATGTTTAAAATATTGATAAATTTCATATGGATAATATAGTCTATAATTCTTAGGGTAAACTATAAAGAGCATATTAATTTACTGGATAAAAATAAGGTTGAAGACAATCTACATTAATTCATCAGTGTGAAGTAAGTCATATTGGTCTGTTTTCTTAGTATGAATCAAATAGTATCCATCAAATTTCAGTGAAAAAACTAGCCAAAGTGATTGAATTATCATCACGTGCACTATAGTTTGCCAATACAATCTGATTAACAAAATTTAATCAGCACTGACAGTTAGACATATGTCACATTCGTTACCAGTCTGTGATCAATGATTGTGAAAAAAAATAAATGGTCCTTTAGACTAACTGCTATAATCGAATTACTTTAGATATACTTATAAAATAGAGCAAAAGATATACCAAATACCAACAACAGAATTGTGCTAAATCAACACTAAAAAAAACCAGTCTAGATTTTAACAAACTAATATATATGAGGCAATGAAATGTTTTTATAAGATCTTTAGTTAGTATAAAGCATTAATATATACACGGTTGTAGATAGAAATTCTATTCAAAAATGCGCTTTTGTTAGTACTTAGAATAAAAAAATCATGTCGAAAAAATTGACGCAATATTTACTAAAAACGTTGAAAACAAACACTTGTTAGAATCAATAGGACTAGCCAGTAAACACAGACAGAAAATGTACAGAATAACCTTAATATATACACATGATCTAAAAAACTAGGAGTCCATTACTAAGTACCGAAGTATTCTTTCAATTATGAGCCGTAGTTTGTTCATATTTAAGAGCTATCAATACTAACTAATAAGTTGCACAAATCAAAGTTGATAGAGCGAACTTCCAATTAGCAAATGAATGGTTCCAAGTCAAGTGATATTAATCACTGAGGTACAAAAAGTTGTAACACACTATCCGCAAATTTTGAAAACGAGTACTATGATAATAACAGCCTTAACTCACATTCCCCTTGTATTTATCGATACCATGGCAAATAAAAAAGACAAATGTGCATTGAAGCGATTTCCATCCTTAAGCAAACAAGTGCTTACAAACAGATCATTGCATTAATCAAACTATAGTTATTTTACATGACAAGAGTCATAAATGTGTATACAGCGAATATTTATTGAGATTTAATGAAAACAATCACGATTATCGAATAGAGTATATGTGATACGTTTCACTGAATAACTCGAAACAACTTAAGCTTGTGTAAAGAGTAAATATAATAAAAACACTACCATTACACAAAATCATAAACACATCATTCGCTTAGAATGCCAGATAAATTAAATCAACAGTGCAAAAATCTATAATCTTAACTAAATAAATATAAATAGATAAAACTGAAAAAGAAGTAGTTATCCGTACACTTGTCCGCACAATAAAAGTAATATAAATATTACAATTGCAAAGTACTAGTTATGAGACAACCGAAACAAATGGGTTGGACAGTCATTTAAAAGAATGAAATGTAAGTTTTTTGAGTTTATTCAAATGACGAGAGCTAAATTTGTTAAACTCACAGGAACTCAACAATCTTTATGACAGTAAGTGAACTGGAGGTAAAGATAAAAATAAAACCTACATTATTCAAGAATCAAATACATTTAATTATATAGATGATTGTAAAAAGAGTTGATCTAAAAATTAACCCTGAATATTAAAATCCAAATTTTGTAAAAACTAACATAATCAATAAAAAACCTGAAAAAAATTTCAAAATAATACTAATCAGTTTTTAATTTAAATGTGCATAACAACTTACTTGTCTAAAAAAATTATTAATTTTTAGTTCTATAGGTGAAAAGCATATTGAATCTGATTGTTCGATGCTTTTTGAACAATTAGAAATACTTTGATGAAAGCGTTTTTCATGATGACTAGTTACCATTCCTTTTATCCAGTCATATTTTGCTTTTTTTACGAAACCCTCTGGACTATTCGATACACCAAATATTGATGATGATAATGAATCATGAGGATTAACACTATTATCCTCTGAATGATTATGTAAAGCAGGATCTACTGACCGACTACGTGTACTACCGCCACCATTTAAATTTCGTTTATTAAACTCAGAATATTGTTTGTTGAGATTAATGGCTTAGTGAAAAGTGGAAAGAGGAAAACAAACAAATGAAGAAATAAAGACATCATGCAAGTATAAAAATGTGATATTTACATACGTGGTATAATCAATTCTAAAAACAAATTACATTGACTAACATGAATCAACAACAAAAATCAGATTGATGTGTTGAAGGGATATTAGAAAGCAGAACATAACACGCAATTGTGATGAATTATTACTAGGCATGAATTACAAATCATAGTCACTCAAACCAAACGAAAAAAGTAACGCTAAAACTGTCGAATGCTTTAAGTTGACTGATCATTCATAAATCTATTTTTTTTAATAATGCTATTCAAATCGTGTAATCGTAAGTGTAAAAATTATTATCTCATCGGCCAACGGGCATAAATGTTGATAACTAAATTAAACAGTAAACAGCTTATAAAAAAATAAATTCAAAGTGTAATTTACAGAGATATGATCTTAGAGAAGGAATCAGTTTATTAGAGACAACGAATGATTTCGAATAATCGTAATATCTACAAATATATAGTTTTATGTCGGCCACTTCCAGTAACTTCAATGATTGATGAATAACAGCATGTACGTAAATCAATTCTTTTAAATTTAACCAGTTTACTTAAGTAATCACTAAAGAAATTACTGGACCTTTATAAAACTTAAGAACATCATTTTTCTAGACTGCACAAAATACGTCTATATACTTACATTCCGTTGTTTTTGCACAATGAGTATCATCAGTTTGTGATTGAATAAATTTATTACGAGGATCAATCATATATGGTGTTAAATCAACAGCAGTCCAAACTAAGGGCATACGATAACGTCCTAAGCGTTGACAACACCAGTTTATTGTGGTTTTCAGTTTATCTTTATTCTGTAAAAGAAAACACAATACACGAATACATTAAATTTGACAATTTATTTAGTTTGTTAAAATAGATGGATAAGTTATTAAAAATATTTACTGCCTAATGTAAAGTAATCAAACAATTGAAGTCAATCTAAAAAAATATTTGGATTTGAATTTCTAGACTAATATGTTGGAAATAATTACTTACCTGGTTTGGAAGAAGTCACACTGCTTTTACATTGCTTTTTTTCCATAATTGATGTTAGTAACAAATATAACAAATAACTGATGAAGCACTTGATAGTTGTTGTCTATGAGTATGTAATTTCTAACGACCTTCAGGTGTCGTGATGGGCACAATACTTTTTGCATATTAAATTCCATTTAATTTGTAAACAGGTGATCCTTATTAAGTGTTATCAGGTTAACTTGAAACGTTTATCTAATTTTCCACATTTTTAAAAGTACAAACACTTAAAATTATTTCGGAATAACATTTCAATGTGGTGGAATTATTGACCTTGAATGACGCTGAAAAATGAATTGGATGGTTTATGCTCTTTGCTACTCAGTTGGTGCACGCAAATGAAACTAAGAATCTGCTGCTTAAACATTTTGGAACGTATATGTATATGTTGTGTTTGGATAGCTGAAGAGTTTTTTAAGGTCGTGAATGGTTGTTTTTCATATTAAACCAGACTACTTTTCAAGTACGAAAACTCATTTATTTAAGAGGGAATCAGAATATGCATAAGTCTTTGTAAAGATCTTAAATATTTTTGCGAAACGTTTTCTTAGCTTTTCTGAAAACTCAATGGAGAGTAGACGAAACGACGTCGTGAGTCAACCACGAAAATGAAACCTCAATCTTTTTAAGATAGTCCACACCATACCTGAACAACTACTCTACAATGCATCGGTAACGTACATAATTAACTACTTGAAGCATATCTAAAACGGGAAAATATACAAGAATAAAAACATTTGGAAAAAAGGTGGCTTAGAAGTTTAGTCAGGCTACTTGTATTACCGTCGAGCACAGTTCCGTGTAATCGACTATGAAAGTGATATAAACCGCCTCAATACATTGAAATAAGTGAAGCATACTCGAAACCTCCAGTCTATCGGTCGAAAGGTGAGTGCTGTAACCAATTTATAGCTCCTTAATTGTGCAAAGATTAAGCTCCCATTGACATAGTTGATATGAACTTCGCATATCCTTGGATACTTATACTTTGCAGAAGAAATGACGAAAACTACACACAAATATATGATAATTTTATATGCTTTACATTCTAATATACTAGAGAAAAATGAAATACATTGTCGAATAACATGACCAAATTGAGGGTAAAATGAAAAAAAATAAATTAGGCCTGTCGTATTGTAAAACCATACATTACCAATTAAAACCAGCAGATCATTTCTCAATTATAAAAGATGACTAATTTGATACTATGTTTGCTGTTTAGTCACTGATGTAAAAAATACTACAAACTCTTGTATGTACATTGCATTAAGAAATAGTTTAACCTTTTACATTCTGAATGAACAAAAAGAAATTATTTGAACTTCTTTCTTCCCTATCCTTAGTGCCATTTGTGTGTAGAAGAATTAAAGTTTTATGAATAAACATTCAGCTTGTTTATTATTTATTTGTGCAGTCAATGTAAGTAAATAAATACGTCTCCAATTCATTAAGTACAAAAACAAGTGCATTGCATTAAACGCTGTTACATACTAACTGTATTTTATTGTAAATAAATGTTTTATTCTGGTGATAAATTGCATGTGAATTATTTATGAATGGTTCAATACAATGTAACATCAAATATTTGAAGCTAAAATAGAACAAAATTTACTCAAGAAAACATATAACATAATAATATGTAGACTGGATCAATTCGAAGGCACTTTAATACTATAAAATGAAGTAAAATAAGTCAAAACTTTATAAATAATATAAAAACTGGAAGGATATTTGTCAATTGATGAAAAATATTTGTAGGTATTTCGTTCACAAACCCAGATGGGTTAATCTGGAACTTTTCATTATCTTTCTAAACAACATCATGAATGAATACTCTAAAAAGAATTGAGCTGTTAGAATTTTCGCCCAATTGACAAATATTTTGGTCTGTTGAGGCACATTACAACTCTTTTGTTGAAGTTAGGGAGATGATGCAATTAAGTGGCTTAGCTTGAAAAGCTATCATATAGGGATCAGGACAGAAGCCAATGCCGATTCTGTTGAAATTTCCTCTTACATTCTGAATAAGATGGTGAAAGAAATCCCTTCAGCTGATAGGATTCTTTCTGATTGTATTTCTAATTGAACTACTTTGCTCATTATAAACTGTCCTCATTTCTTTACTTTAGACCATACTTCCACATTTTCAGTTTATTTGTGCAATGCAAATTTATTTTGATGACTGATTGTGCATGAAATGTATTAAATATGGTAACATGTTCCGTTCACTTAAAATTTGACTGATTGTTTGTACGCAAACAACTGCTGCACTATTACATTGCTATCGTTGTTTAGAAAGAAAATAAAACCTTCATGACTAAATCCTCCAACTCAGAGAACACACCACATACGAAAGATACTTCTCATTTTGATTTTTAGACTCCTTAGTACATGGTACAAAGTTACAGGAACCGAAGTAACTATCCTAGAAACGGCTCAAGGTTCATATTATACAGGATTATTTTACTATACTACGTGTCCCGTAACAGTTTAGTACTAAATTTTAGATGGATCTGTTAAGCATTAAAATTATCTGCAAACATTAGCAAACGGAACATTTGAAAATGATAATCCTTTCTAGAGAAAAAAGTGAAATGCTAAAGAAAAGTGTATGACTCACTTTTTCATCCTTATTATAACCTTCAATGATATCATTTACATCACCTTGTTGTAATACCTTCTCTACCTGTCAAAATAAGGAAAAAATTAATTATTCGGTGGAAATACATGACTAGTGATTATATGATTTAATGAGTCTCATTGTTTGATCACAGTAACGTAAATTAGTGAAACTGCAAATAATTTAAGAGAATTAGTGACATTTTACGAATGAATACCTGTTAAAATCATTTCAAGACAAACATTTTTAAGGGTTTCATTATAAATTAAACCCTAACACAAGTTTCTCTCTATGTACTGTTTTGCTAAGGATAAGGTAGAAAAAGTAATCTTCTTAGAACCTTTGCATAAATATCAAGATGTGGATTTGTAACTTGATCCATGAGATAAGTTGGGTTTTGATACATATATTGCTCTTGCTTAGTTAGATCAAAACAAATTATTCATGAAATTGATCAGTTTAGATGGCCTGTAAGATGCAAAGAGGAACGGGTTATAATGCAGAGAGCTATTTAACTCAGTATAAGCATTAGGAAAGGTTATTCAAACTAAAGCCTAGTATAAGTAACTGCAACGATGAAAACAGAAAAGTAACCAAATAAACAAACCAATCATTGATCACTTAACTTTATGGTGAGTAGATAATAACCAATAAATAAAAACAAAACATCAACACAGTTCAAACTTTGATATTAGATGAGGCAAAATGTTATGACTAACAAATTACATTGGTATTAGATAATTTTTCGTACTCATCAGTTTTATATTTTAATTGAACCTCAAGTTAAGTGTGATTTTCGCATGAATGTTTATCTTCCGGATATTCAAGATAATGAAGTAACAACGACGGGTGTCCGTGTATGTTTAAATAAAGCCTTAGCTTACTATAATCGATTGTTAAATCATATATCCTGTGAAACTGATAGCAAATATTAGATATTAGTGGTTCAGTAGAAGCAGCATAATTGGTCATAAAAGTAGAAAGTTTAAAGGCTTTAAAAATCCATAATATACATACTACAGTGTGTAATTTAAAATTATACTTTCTCGTTTGATTGGAATAAACTAAAAGATACACTGCGTTAAAAGTAGAGAAAAGCTTAAACACTTGTAATTGTTACACTTCGTAAACAATTAGACAGAGCTGGAACTATTATTAACTTCACGAGTCTCTAACTATAAAACTTCTAAGAAATTATATTAAAAATATACCACACTATTCACTGAATTTGATACATGACTGAATGTTATAAGTCAGAAATTGCAATCGAACCTGAAAGTGCTGAGTGTGACGTAGTAGTTATAGTCATTAGGGACTGAGTTCTGATGGTACTGCTCTAGCGACAAAACAAAATGATATACTAAAACAATAACTTATGTAGTACATAATATAGAAATTAAAATATTAACAACCAAACCGTTTATAAAATGATCATTCTTTTAGCTCACTCGAATAATTAAAAACAATCCGCCTTTACAACAAGATGTTTTACAGGAGTTAAAAGTAAGCTTCTCAGTCCATTCTGAAGCAAATAGTAGGACGTCTTCTAGACCAAAATCATCGTCGTTATTTGATTCACAGTCATTTGTAGGGACATTCGAGTGTACTCCAATTTTTTCCGCAGAGCCCCCAGATGGTGTTTTTAAATAAGGCTTCGTAATATTACTTCTTAGATCTGTTGAGTTGGACAGATTGTATCGACTACTTATTCGAAACAGACAGGTCTGTGCTAATGAGGTCACATCACGATAAGCTAGTTGCTGGTTTGTCATACTACCACTAAACAAGTTCATCATTCTCGTTGAATTGGTATCAAAATGGAATGTTTCCGAAACTTTAAGGCGCGAATGAACATCGTAAATAAATGCTGAACCGAAAATAGGCTCCAGGTTACCGTCATCTAGTTGCAGCTCGAGAAACTCCGTCAATAGATATAAAGTTGTATTTGGTTGACTTTTGGTCGGATTGAGTAGCTCAGATGGCCATTTGCATCCAGGACTTAACTGACGAATTTCGATAGTATCCTTCTAGATCAGGTTGACAAAATATATAATCAAGCAAAATATTACATACATAAGGAAAGTAACAAACAACAAGTAAAGTTACAGCTACCTAAATTGTTGTCCACAATGAATTTTAACACATTTTGTGGGACTACTTACATTCAGTAACAAGTTCATCATACTGTTAAGTATTCATGATGGTTTTTATAATATGGTATCGTCAGCCTAATTAGTTGGATAAACAGGATAGTAAAATCAGAAGCCTCTGAACAACAGAGAGTGAGTTGTGTAAAGATTGTCAGGTGGAGGTAAATAATGAGTACAGAGAAAATATTTTGTTAAAAAAAATCAAAGTTTAATACTGACCATGAAACCGTTGTTAACACTGAACAGTGGAAAGGGACTTTAAATATACACGTAACTGGAAGTAGACTCATTTGTATTGGCAGAAAAAACTTAATATGGTAAGAAAACCAGTAACACCTTAACTAAAATTAACGAATTGAATTTCATTACAAATATAAAAAACGAAGACATGATATACGACATATAAAAGGCACATCAACTTGCTTCTAAAAAAAAAATAAAATGGAAGCATGCTCACCCACTCCAAGGGTTCGCGTATACCCAGCAGTGACTTAGTCAGTGTTAATAAAGGACCGCCTGAATACCCGAAAACATTAAATTCATTTATTTGGGCGGTGTCATTTTTCGAAGCTTCATTTGTCAAGTTGTTCGGTCGTTTCTAAAATTTTATTAGTCACAGGATTATAAGCTACCTCATGCGCTAGACTTCTACTTCCAACCAAGTCCAGATTCGAGAGGGGTAAACAAGAGTATTTCTTATGAAACATTTGCTCGTCATGACTACAAATATTTAAGCCGAAAAGGGAACCTACATTTGAAAGCACTGTATAAGTGAGTAGTAAGACGAAATGCATTGTTGAACAGTGGGCGAAGCAGAATCCCTATAGTTTTAAAAGTTGATGTTATGAATCAAGCTTACAAATTATCAGGAACAGGTGACGGGCTGAAAATGTTGCTGCGTTTCAGGTTGACACATTTTATCGTATGATTTATTGTTTTAGAATTATATGACATGATCCGAGCAGAATTTATGAAGTCAGCGCTATTGCAAATACTTCAAGAAAACCACTACGTTGGTAATAGTGAAGCGGTCATCCTCATGAAAATTCAACCAACGAGCTTAAAATTTGTAATCTACAAATGATAAACCTAAACAACAAAAAGACATGTCCAATAGGTTATCGCTGGATTTACCTACTCGTCTACTTGTAAATCCGTAAGCGTGCTTATATTTGGAATTGAGTCTGTGAAACGTGACTAATATATAAGAATAAACACTGTTTATGTATTGGGGATTCATTTACCGCTACAGATCACTCCCCCCCTAGTGGGGCAGTGACGACCCTAAGACGTGGCCAGCCAGAAGTTTAAACCCAACGAGTTTGTCGTTGGTAAACACTCTTCTGATAGCTTACTAAATTTAGCAGCGTCTGGTCGTCTTTCCTTACTATATGGGACGGAGGTACAACATAGTAAAAAAGAAAATGTACAATGAAAATTTCGGATCCTCATAAACGTCGTCGTTCTTTTCCAGCCGTCCTGGAAGAGAAAAAAGAAAATGTAAGTGCATGTCGAAAATACACTCGTATGTGCGTAAAAGCACAATGTCGGCGGGAAAAAAATGGAAAATAAACTCATGAACACGTAATAGCGTTAAAAAAAATTGTTTTTTTTTAAATAGAAATAAAAATATATAAGCATATTAAAATTTTTTTTAAAAAGAAATAATATAAAATGTCAAGAAGTGCCTTACGTGCAATAGTCGTTTAAACGTTCTGGAAATCTCACCCTTCTTACAGAACGCGTCGTTTTAAGTTTATTTTCGGATACTGTCGAAGTATCATCGTGCGTGTTGGTTGTCGGATGAGGTATTATAAGTGTCGGAGTCGTGTCGTTCGATTGTACCGGAGAAAAATCCACGTAGATAGGATTTCCTTCTAAATACGCTGCTTTTAAGCGATCGATGCTGATGCTATCGTTGGTTCCGTTCTTATCGACTATATAGTACTTAGATTCACGTTGAAGAACTTTGAACGGTCCTTCGTATGCTGATTCAAATGGTCGTCGATGCGAGTCTCGACGAACGAAAACGTGTGTACTATATCGAAAGTCAGGTTGAACGAAAACATCAGTTGATTGAGGTCGAGTGGAAGCAGGTTTAACTGAACGCATTGCTTTTGTAAGCCTGTTCGTGTAGGAGGTTAGATCCATGTTCATTGAAGAGGATGAAGGATCCACGGATTCTCCTGGAAGTCGAAGTGTCGTTCCATAAACGAGTTTACCCGCAATGTATCCACTGTCAGCTTTCACTGCATTGCGGATACCTAGTAAGACGAGTGGAAGAGCGTCGGTCCACTGTGAAACGTTTGCAGCTGATAGCGAAGCTTTCAGTTGTCGGTGAAAACGTTCTACCAACCCGTTTTCTTGTGGATGGTAGGCGGTCGTTCGGAAGCGAGTGATTCCTAAAAGTGTGGTCAGACGACGGAAAAGATCGGATTCAATCTGACGTCCGCGGTCTGTAGCGATGGTTGAAGTGCAGCTGAAGTTTGCTACCCATCGTTCGACGAAGGTGCGGGCCACTGTTTCAGCAGTGATGTCCTTGATAGGTACTGCTTCTGGACATCGAAAGAAACGGTCTACGCAGGTTAAGAGATAAGAGTATCCATTCGAATCTGGTAAAGGTCCTACCAAATCCAGATGAACATGGTCGAAACGAGCATCGGGAGTTTTAAACGAGCCTAAGGGACATTTGTTGTGTCTGATAACCTTAGATTTTTGGCAGCTTACACAGGAGCGTGCCCACTCCCTCACGTCTTTATTCATTCCAGGCCAGCAAAACCTTTCTGCTATAAGCTTGATGGTTGCACGAACACCTGGATGCGAAAGTTTGTGCAATGTGTTGAAGACATTGCGTCGATAATGTTTCGGCACGATTGGGCGATCCCTACCTGTAGATGTGTTTCCATCTGTTTGATACGTAGTTTAAGTGTTGTGGACGATAACTCGTGCTGAAGATCACTGTCTTGTTTTTGAAGCTCGGCGAGTATTAGAAGTTCGATTTCTTGGAAACTGTTCAAGGAAGTTATACGAGATAAAGCGTCTGCAACTACATTGTTTGCTCCAGAGATGTGTTGAATGTCTGAAGTAAACTGCGAAATGTAGTCCAGGTGTCGAGACTCACGGGGAGAGTACTTGTCAGAAGGAGAGCTTAACGAGAAAGTGAGCGGTTTATGGTCCGTGAAAAGAGTGAATTCACGACCTTCGATGTAGTGTTGGAAATGCCGTACAACACAATACATAGCTAGGAGTTCCCTACCGAATGTGCTGTACCTCGATTCGGTGTCTAGCAACTTTCTAGAGAAAAATGCCAAGGGTTGCCAGGAGTTGTTAACCCACTGTTGTAAGACTCCTCCGATTGCTGAGCCGGATGCGTCTACTGCGATGCTAATGGGTGCTAGGGTGTCCTGATGGGCGAGCATTGTTGCTTTAGCAATCAGTTCCTTAACTGTGGAGAATGCTTTTCGTGCGGTGTCGTCCAAATTAATGGATTTCGCATTTCCACGAAGTTGGTCGGTCAGAGGTTTCATAAGTGATGCGCATTTAGGTATGAAACGTCTATAGAAACTTACGAGGCCGTTAAACGTGCGTAATTGCTTGACGGTGGTGGGTTCTGGGTAATCCAGAATGGCCGCCACTTTGGTCCTAAGAGGTCGAATGACTTGCGCATCTATAGTGTGTCCTAGGAAGTGTAACGAGTCAGTACCCATTTGGCATTTCTGAACGTTTACAGTTATGCCATGTTTTTGTAGTCGTTCGAAAACAAGATCCAGATGCTTGAGATGTGTTTCTCTGTCCGGACTTGCGATTAGACAGTCGTCAACATACGCATGTACGAAGTTGAGACCTCGAAAAACGTCGTCTATGAATCTTTGGAATGTTTGAGCAGCATTCCTTAGACCGAAAGGCATTCGCAAAAATTCATAGAGTCCGAAAGGAGTTATGATAGCTGTTTTCGGTATGTCGTCAGTAGCCATAGGGATTTGGTTATACGCTTTAACCAAGTCGATTTTCGAAAAGACAGTTGTACCTTTCAAGGTAGCTGTCAAATCGTGAATGTGAGGCAACGGGTAACGATCGGGAATGGTTTTCGCGTTCAATCGCCGATAGTCACCAGTTGGACGCCAATCGTTGCTGTCCTTTTTGGGGACCATGTGCAACGGAGATGCATATGGGCTACTTGACGGTCGTATGATTCCTAAGTCCATCATGTGATCGAATTCGTTTTTCGCTAACCTTAGCTTTTCAGGAGCTAGTCGTCGTGCTTTAGAGAATACAGGTGGTCCTGTAGTCGTGATGTGATGTGTAACATTGCTGGTTACACACGGTAGTTTCGGTTGAGTTTGTTGTATCCCAGGGTACTTATCGAGTAGTGGTTGATAGAGTGGGTCTATCATATGTTTAACTGTGACTGGGGATACTCTACAACCAGTAAAAGAAGTTACGCAAACGGACAAATTAGTGTTCCCGTCTACTAGCCTCCGTTTGCGCGTGTCGATGATCAGATTGTGGTGTTGTAGAAGATCCATACCAATGATTGGCATAGAAACATATGCAATAACGAAAATCCAGTGGATGGGTTTGCGTAAACCCACGTTAATGTAAACGTACCTTTGCCATACGTAGCGATCGGTTTTCCGTTTGCCGCCTGTAAGTTTAGAGTCGATTCGTGAAGCCGGTCGTTAGGATTTGGTGGGAGAACGCTAACTTCTGCGCCAGTGTCGACGAGGTAGCGAACTCTCGTTGTCACATCTGTGACGAATAACAGACAGCTTTGTTCGCCGGCTACGGTTGCCGTTAACGCGTGCCGGCTTGGAGATTTCCCGAATTGTTTTTCGAATCAGTCAGTTTCGTGTTGGGAAAATTGCAGGGTTTTCTGCAATTTCTGGAAAACTTTCCATACTGGTTATGATACCAGCACCAGTCGGGGTTATCTGTCTCTCGTGGTCTAGAGACAGATCGCTTACGAGAAATGCTTCTACGTGGTGTGCGCGATCTTTTACGGTCGGTACGAAGACTAAGATAACGCGTGAGTGTGTGACATAAGTCGTTTATATCATTCTGAGTCGTTTGAGGTTTTTCTTTGACTGAAAGTACCTCGGTAGTAGATTTCGTAATTTCTAAAATGCGGTCGGCAGATGCAGCTAGCTCTTCTAAGGCGTTGTTCTGGAACGAGACCAGAACTGCTTGCACCTGTTGGGGAAGTTTTGACAAGAAGAGTTGTTTGAATAGACCTTCGTCGAAAGTTCTTGGGCCTATTACCTCTCTCATTTTTTGCAACATGTCCGTCGCAGAACCGTGTTGCAGGTCGATATTGTTGAAGAGTTGATCTAACCTTTGTCGATCGGTTAAGTCTCCTCGTTTGAGAATCGAGCGTTTTAAGATTTCGTAAGGATCGGAAACATCACTAGTAAACATACTAGGTGTTACGTACCTGTTGAATTCGCGCGGTAGTGCCTTGACTACTGCGAGGAATTGTGCACGTGTGTCGATCACGCCGTGCTCGGAGAAGTCGGCTTCTGCGTAGCAAAACCAGGCTTCGATGTTGTCGGGCCAGAAAGGCATCAGTTGAAACGAAGGCGGGGACAAAGTCTTAAGCTTGAGTACTTTAGGTGTCTGTTCAGTCATGATGAAGTATGAAGTACGATAATGAACGAGGGGAAAATATATATATCCAGGAAAAAACACGAAAAAAAATCACAATGTTTAAAAAAGTTAAAAAAAATAAGGCAATGATATATAAAAATCCCAAAAAGGAACAGACTCACAGTTGCAATTAGGTGTACCAGATCACGTCGGTTTCACCAATGATGATGTCACAGGTATTCAGTGTTTGACAACGCTTCTACCAGTAACACCTTCTAATATATTTCGTTCCCGCCCAGAGAAATCAAAAGACAGAGTCGAGGAGATCGGAAGAGTATATTTGGCGATGACCAATATATCGGAATTCTCTGATCTAATCTGGCTAGCGATTGCGGTTGATGTTGAGCACGGCGTTACCACACGTGATCTGGTGCGAATGCCTGACCGAGCGCCTTCAGCTAGGTGAGTCCACTAAAACATATGGTCAGCATCCAA